TGATCTATGCTGCCCTAAGGCCCCAATTCCTTATTGAATGATTGCCTCCTCCCCCCTCTCCCTTGCAGCCTTTTTATCATTTCCCTTACCAGATTTAACACCTCACTTCACTCCTTCCTGACTCCTACCTGCCACATGTGCAGGGTAATTACAACTTAAATTCCCATCTTAACCCTTAGTCATATCATCCTTGCTGCCGAAGTAACAATACGAGGCATAACACACTAAAATTGAATCTCTTTGTACTGCATTCCAAGAGTATACTTTCCAAGAATACAAGTACTGGATAATGATGCATGACATCAGTGGCGTGTTACTTAGCATGATACTTGTAGATTCATGTTTAATTCATTACATTAGGATACCAGAATAGTTGTTATAATTAGGGATAAGAATAAGTTTGAAAGAATATTACTGTAGGATTATCAGAGGTGCAGGAGATTGTGTGGATGAACTTTAGTATCTGTGAGTTGCTGCATGCTGCATTTATTTGATGATAACATGTTTCACTGCTTCCTTCTGTATTCTTTTGTCTCCAAAGTCCAAAATATAGTCCACCATGGTTCTCCATGACATTTGCGACTAAGTGGCAGTGTTCATGGATGTATGCTACATTGTTATACTAATTCTGTTGCTTGCTATCTGGCTCAGATTGAAGATATGGATGCATTATTTGAAGCACAATTTTCTACACTTGCTGAGTCAGGGCGTATTCTGAGTAAATGTGGTAAATGCTTGCGATATATGAAGTACATATCTGCTCAGCCATCACGTTTATATTGTTCTACATGTGAGGAGGTTTATAATCTTCCACAGAAGGGCACAATCAAGGTAGTATCATATAACCTGTCTAACAGTAGCAACTTATATCTGATCTCCAGCTCAACCTGTCTTTTCCTCTTTGATTGAGTTGTTATCATCTTTGATATTGTAAACTGTCAAACTTCCTTGCTTCTTTAATATTTTTAATCCTATTTTGGTTAACAGTTCTAAATTCGCTTGCTGTTTTCATATGTGGTCCCATGTAAAAAGTTCAATTTTGATGAATTGATATTATTGTGAATGGTTTCTATGAAAAGAAAATAGTATTATGAGTTAGTGTCTTCAGTAACCCTTTCTCACCCTTCCTTATTCTAAAGAGTAAAGGCTTCCCCTCTTTCTGTTGGTCTCTCCCTCCTCTCGACTGCCACTCTTCCTTCTATTTTCTCCCCCGTCCTACATCAATCTAACTTCCTTTCAATCATTCGTGCCTTTCACCTTGAAAAGAATATCATACAGAGCCCTAGGAATTTCAGCACTCAAGACCTCTGATCTACAGGTTATAAAGTGTCGTTGCTGTCAGAAGGCTGTTGGAGCTTGCCATTTAATTGTCAGAATCTTTGTTATAGCTTTCAAACTTAGATTTCCTTAAGAATGGCTGCATTGAGCAACCAGCCCTGCCACTATAATTGGAGGGTGCCTTTGGACATTCCTCTTAAGATTGTTACTAACACTACGTATGCTAGCATGCACCAGTGACTTCACTTGTTTGCCAGATCATGAGCCAGAGCGTTTTTAGCTTACCTTTTCACCATTCAATTCCTTTGTAACCTTTCTAAACGTGTAATCATCTTAATTGTTGTTTGGGCTACTCTCACAAAGATATGGAACAAAGATAAGAAGGAAGGGGGTTTGGGTTTTGGTAATTTGGTGTCTAAGAACATTGCTCCAAGGTTGAGTTACCTGATTAGCAACATCACTTAGGAAGGTTAATGTAATTGAGACCCATTTGATATTTACTGTTTTCATTTATTTGATCTTGTCTGTCGCTGTATTGTGTTATGTGATGTGCGCAACATGTTACCGACATTTGCATTAACTGTTTCTGCAGCTGTACAAGGAATTGTCTTGTCCTCTGGATAATTTTGAGCTTTTGATCTGCTCCATGGGCCCAGAGGGTAAATCATTCCCACTATGCCCATACTGCTACAGCAATCCCCCATTTGAAGGTATTGAAGCACTCATCAATACGACAAAAACTGGTAATTCTGGCAAGATTGGCAAGGAAGCTGGCATGCCATGCAACCTCTGCCCCCATCCGACTTGCCCTAATTCTTTGGTTTCCCTGGGTGTATGTGCTTGCCCAGAGTGCAGTGGGACACTTGTATTAGACCCGGTAAGTGCTCCCAAGTGGCGGCTTTGTTGCAATATGTGCAATTGCATAGTTTTTCTTGCACAAGGTGCTCATAGAATCTCCACAACTCAAGAACGGTGCAACGAGTGTGACTCTTTAATCATAGAAGTAGACTTCAACAAGAAAACAACTCCTCTGGAAGACGGATCTACCTTACACCGTGGTTGCATTCTTTGTGATGAGTTACTACATTCCCATGTGGAGATGAAACATGGGAGAGGCTTCAAGCATATGAGTTCACGAGGAAGAGGAAGAGGGAGAAAAGGCGGATATAGAGGCAGAGGACGCGGGGGTGGAAAAATGATGGATCCAAAGATGAGTTTCCGAGATTTCTAGGTAGTGGTTCTGCTGCTCCTCATGTCCATAGATATATTACTTGTACATGTTTGAAAAAACAAGAATATTTACCCATCCTTTCGCTGATTTATTGGTCGTTCAGTTTCTATAAATTTATTCTTGGCAAAATTATCTATTGTTCTTAAGGTTTCACTCATGCAGTGAAAATAGTTTATTGATGTTTTTTATCATAAAAAAATAGCTGGAAATATTTACGTTGGTTGTAGAAAGGTATTTTAAAATTTTTATTAAAAGATATTTTGTTTATTTAAATTTAACGCATATATATATATATAGGAAAAGTGCTTGTCAATTTAAATGATATAAAGTTACGTCATTTTAAGAGAGAGACAGTCAGATAGACACATAAATTTTTTTTTATTTAAATTTTAAATTAAAAAAATCACTCACTTTCTCTCTCTTATGATTTTCGTTTTTCTGTGTCTATCTCTCTCTTAAAATGACATAACTTATGTCATTTTAAATGACAAACATCAAACCTATATGTATATATAACCAAGTTATACTATTACTTATTATCTATTAAATATTCTCATTTAAAATGAATCAAAATAAAAAAAATGTTAGTAATGAAAATGGTAGTTATGTTTTAAAAATTAATTTTTTTTTTATTCTTTTTAAAGGACAATCAAAATTAAAAAATATTATTTTTTATTTAAATATTTAAATTAGAAATTTCTGTTCACTTTCTTTTATTATGATTTTTATTGTGTAACTCTTTTTTTTACTGTAAAAATATTATAATTTTGATTAAAATAACACAATTCTGTGTTCTTTAAAATAATATATATTCATACATAAAAATTAATACTTATATTGGGAAGCTTAATGATTTCTCGTAAATGTAATCATTGGATGTGCATGTCCAAAGCATACTCCAAAAAAAAGTTAGAGAATTTTTAGGAGTGAATGCACAAGGCATGTGAATATGAGAAATAAAATATATAGATTGTTCCTGAATTTTGATTAATGTTGTTGCAAGCACCCCGTTTTATAGGAAATTGGGTGGAGTGATAGTGATGAACGTAACAGTCTAAAGCTAGACGCATCTAACTCTAAAATTCCTATCCCTATCCGTATGCCGTACTGAAACAAGGCAAAGGTAAATGGATTTCCATCCATAATCATAATCATACAAAGAAAATGAATCAATGATAAAAAAAGGAAAAAAAAAATATTGAAATAAATAATTCTAAAATCATAATCACTAATTTATTTTTGGGTTATATTCGTCTTATTTTGTATGAGATAAACAAATTATTTGCATATACAAAAGAAGAGTGAGTCCTATCTTTTTTTTTCTCCTCTTATCTGTGCGTCCCACTTTTAATTTTATTTTTACAACATGAGATAATCATTTTCTTTCAACATAAAAAAAAATTATTTCTCTTTATTTTTATATAGAGAAAATTGTTTGTCATTTTAAATGATATAAGGTTATGTCATTTTAAGGGAGACATACACATAAATTTTTTTATTTAAATTTTAAATTAAAAAAAATCACTCACTTTCTCTCTTCCATGATTTTCATTTTTCCGTGTCTATTTCTCTCCTAAAATGACATAACTTATGTCATTTAAAATGACAAACACCAAACCCTTTTATATAATTATGATCTGTGGTTGTAATATTTTTTTTTTTCACTCTCGTTTCCAACATAAATACCTATGTAGCACCAATACGACACGCGACACGTGACACGACAAGACACGACACTCTGACATGTCAATACTAAAAAATTATGGATTTCGACACGTTGGGACACGTTTTAATATTAAATAATATTTTTAATTTATATATGTAATTTCATTTAATATTTAATAATTTAACAAAAAAATGAAACTAAATTAATAATACCCATCAACACGTTATAAAGATGAAAGCTTTAATAAAAAAAATAAAAACGGGGATGAGAGAGATATAATATCAGATAGAGAGATCAAATCATATTAGAGAGAGATCAGAGACAAGGAGATACAACAAGAGCGTGATAGGAATTGACAACAATGATGTTGAGATGATTTCTTATATACTTAAGGGGGAAAAAGACAAAAAAAATAAAATTGATATGATAAGTGAAAGCTTTATTAATATATTTTAATTTTTTTAAATTTTTTTTTTTAAAAAAAAATAATAAAAATTACGAAAATGTCATTTGACCGTGTCCGACACGGTTAAATTCGCATGTCGGAATGGTCAATATGTCGGAAAAAGTTGACCGCGTGTCCGACACCGTGTCGGCGTGTCAGAACGTGTCGGACACAACTCTCTCTATTTTTACAAGTGTCCGTCCTTCCTTGATAAATACTATACTAAGACAGGCAAAAGTGGGTTGGATGTTTTTTTTTTTTTTTTAATTGGGTTGGATGTTGTTTTTGTTTTGTCGTAATCTTCCTCGCTATCCACTCAAGAATATTCTTATAAGAACACATAAAATATTACACATTACAACTCCAACCCCAAACAATGTACCAACAAATGCTACAAATAATGGCGTGGTGCAATATCCACCAACTGCTTGTTTTTCTTGCTCCCACTTCCCACCATTATTACCATTAGCCACCATTCCCAACCCCTCTCTCTCTCTCTCTCTCTCTCTCTCTCTCTCTTAGGTTCTCTCTTAGGTACTTTCAACTTACTACTTCAACTTCTTTTATTCATTAACTTTCAAAATGCTATAACGCATCTATTGAATTTCAATCACTTCAATTCCGCAAGAGTAACACGCTCCTCTTTCCTTCCTTCCTTCAGGCTTTGTTTGATCTTCGGCTCAATGGCTATGTGTGGCTGTGTCTCTGTGGCGAACTTGAATTGGCAAATTGGAGCAAGAAACATATCCAAATTCGGGTCTAATGTGAACTCAGATAACACAATTTCGTTATCATTTGGTGGGAGCGAGTCCATGGGTCTTAGTTTGAGACTTGCTTCAATTCGTTCTTCTAAGAGCATCAGGTTCAGGAACCGTGGCTCTTCCTTGCGGGTAGTTTCCGTCGATTATCCACGCCCTGAGCTTGACAGTACTGCTAATTTCCTTGAAGCTGCTTACTTGTCTTCAACCTTTCGTGCTTCTCCGCGTCCAACCAAACCCTTAAAGGTTGTTATTGCTGGTGCAGGTAACAAGGGGCCTTCCTAAGAGCAACTTATACTCATACCCATTTCATTGAATGCATCAAAATTTTATCTTTGTCACCAACTTTGTGGTTTTTCTTGATTTGGTTGTACTGGGTGTTTTCAGATTAGGACCTGTTGCTGAGTCTTCACTTGGGTTTTGCATTGTCTTCTAATGTTTATTTATTTATTTATTTTTTTTCTTTCCCTTTTTGGTTTTGAAGTGATTCTTCCAATGTATCATTATCATTTCCGGGTCCAATGGAATTCATAGGTATAGGAAAGGGTGGGCTTAGATTGTCATTTATATGATGAGCTTTTAGCTTGATATCTTAAGCAGAAGCATTTTAGATGCCTGCCGTTGGAATGGATTTCTCATGTGATATGAGGTAATGCGAGAGTATCTCAACTATCTCATACAAAGCAAGCGTGATGTGGGAAAATGAATTAAGATAAAATGTGAAAAATTGATAACCTTTGATCTGTATCTAGACAGTTGAAATTCTCTCACATGATCTCATGTCATGAGAGAATCCAATCAATCCATTCCCCTGTTAGGCATTAGGAGTTTCTTTCTTTTGATTAAATAGATGTACAAATCTAAAGGCTTGATTACATTGACAAGATCCAGTGTCAATAAAGAAAAAAGTTTTGCGGTTTTAGTGTCTTCAATTTTTCATGAAATTTCGAATTAAAGGTACCATAATGTCATGCTGGATATTTAAATCGTTTTTGCACATGAGTTTTGGTCTTTCTTTCTCTTTTGGATTAATGTATATTACAAATTATCCCAGGATTGGCTGGTTTATCAACTGCAAAATATTTGGCAGATGCTGGTCATAAGCCTGTATTGCTGGAGGCAAGAGATGTTCTAGGGGGAAAGGTTTTCCTGCTAATTTAATCCCATTTGTCATTAAGTTGTCACTTTGTGCTACTACTGTTCATCATTTTTCCTTGCTGCTTAATTAAATAAGAAACTTGTTCTTATTTGACTGTTCCATCATAATCTAATGGATGCGGTGGGTTTATATGATTAATAATTTGAGTTCTTTTCTGGATTAATTTTATGGGACTTCAGATTGATAATTTTGAACTTCATTAGCAGGTTCGTTGAAGATCACCACAGTACATGCAACTTATTTCTTATAACAATTTCAAATGTATTGTGTGTTTATACTATTTTTTCATTTTTTAAGGTTGCTGCATGGAAAGATGAAGATGGAGACTGGTATGAGACAGGCCTACACATATTCTGTAGGTCCATTATAATCTCAGGCTTCACTTAACATTTTATGCTATATATTTGTTTCATTAATTCCTTCTGAAAAATTCTACCTTCTTTCAATTTAATAATATAATTCCTTTAGTGAACCTTTTTTCCATTGATAAAAGAGAGGGAAAAAGAGAGAGTAAAAAGCTGGAGGATCAATAATCCTCGCAAAGCTACAAAAGACACCATGGGATAGGAGAAACAAAGTAAAGAATATAAAAAAAGTACATAACAAAACCATTATTTGGCTTTATCCTAATAGCTTAAGCTATTGGAAGAGTTGGTCCTTGATACAATATCAAAACCTTTTGCCTTCATGACCAAGTGGTTAGGATTTTGATCCTTGCTGCCCCACTCTTCTGATTAAAAATTAAATTTCAACAAAAAGGTTTGGGCTAATCCGTGCTTTGTCGAAGCTTCAAGCTCAAAGGGCTTTTGTATGAGTGGGCAATTTGACCTTCTCCTAACAGTCCTTTTGGACTGGTTCGTCCTTGGCACACATATTTCACTATTTTGATATCTCTTTTTTGGTTTTTCTTTCAAAGTGAATCATTTACCGGAAATCATGTCTAGTAGTTAATCAATATGGTTATTTTAATTATTGGAGTCCTTGTTTGTAGTTATCCTTGCCTTACATGTGTTCCTTTTTTTCTTTTTTTCATAGTTGGGGCTTACCCTAATGTGCAGAACCTTTTTGGAGAACTTGGTATTAATGATCGATTACAATGGAAGGAGCATTCTATGATTTTTGCTATGCCAAGTAAGCCGGGAGAGTTTAGTCGATTCGATTTTCTTGAAGTCCTTCCTGCCCCGTTAAATGGTAAGAAGGAAGACTAAATATATGTGTGCATTAAATATGCCCACCTGAAGTTCAATGCAGCTATAAAGTGAATGGGATGCCTTCTATTTTTAGTAAAACTTAGATAATGGAATTTGCATTTGTCTGCTGCAAAATGTATGATTCTATCTAGCAATTTTCCTGCCATTGTTATGGGTAGTGCCTCAAAAACCAGAATTCAGATTAAGAAAGTTTTGGTTTCCTTGGAAGTTTTAACACAATATACTGGTTAAATTTTGATTTTGAACATATCTTGGTGCATTTGATAAGCATTGAAACAAGATTTGTTAAACTGGTTCCATTTTATGTAAATTGAAATATTGAGAACACAAATAGAGAACAAGCATTTTGGTGTTTAAGCTTGATTTCTATATAATTTTTTTTCTTATTTCTTTTTCTTTCTTCACTAATCTAGTTTGCAGGACAGGAAGATATTTGTCTTTTTGGAAAAGAACCAAATAATGCTTAAATTTTCCTTCTTTTTTTTTAAATGTTTGCAGCATTCCTCTTCTAGAATTCTGTTTCATTATGCTTTAGCTTTTCTCTTCCTAAATGTTAACCTGTGTTTACAAGTTGCATGCTCTGAATCTGATAACAGGAATATGGGCAATATTGAGGAACAATGAGATGCTGACTTGGCCAGAGAAAGTCAAGTTTGCAGTTGGACTTCTGCCAGCTATACTTGGTGGACAGGCGTATGTTGAGGCTCAAGATGGTGTTTCTGTTAAAGAATGGATGAGAAAGCAGGTATAGCCGTTGTCTTGATTGTGTAACTTTAGCTATCCATTAATTGATTTAAGTAACTAGACCATATCACCAGTCAAGCTCATGGCCTTTTGTGATTTATAAATTGCAGAGAACAGTCTTGTTTGTCAATGAAGTTTTTAGCCATCTTAATGATAAGTTTTCTGAAATGGGGTGATTTAGGAAGACTTCCAAGTGACCACGATAGGGGGTCCTTTTATCATCAGAATTCAAATTATTAATTCAGATCAAGCTCTATATTGCTCTGTTTTTATGCCATTTATAGTTATTAATTTGAAAACTTAAATGTAATGTCCCACATCGGTTGGAGAGGGGAACGAAGCATGCCTTATAAGGGTGTGGATACCTCTTCTAGTGTGAGGCCTTTTGTGGGGTGTCCCAAGAAACAAAACCGTGAGCCCGAGGGCAAAGCGGACAATATCATGCTACAGGGTTTGAGGCTGTTACATTTGGTATCAGAGCCTGGCCCTGGACCGGTGTGTACAGCGGGGGCGCTGTATTCCCAGTGGGGGAGGATGTAATGTCCCACATCGGTTGGAGAGGGGAACGAAGCATGCCTTATAAGGGTGTGGATACCTCTTCTAGTGTGAGGCCTTTTGTGGGGTGTCCCAAGAAACAAAACCGTGAGCCCGAGGGCAAAGCGGACAATATCATGCTACAGGGTTTGAGGCTGTTACATTAAACTATGATATTTTTTTTTTTTGAATTAAATAATGAACTGAAAGATCTTTTTATAACAACACTCAGAATGAATGAGCAAACAACTCATATATGGAAACTCCCAATGTGTAGAGGAGAGTGTATCTGTTGCAATCCTTATATTCATGCACTCTTATCCCGTCTCTCCTTCTAAGGAAAAAGAGGTCCATACTCCATAGTCTTTTTATCTGATATTCTCTTTAGCAAATGTGTCACTAATAGAAGGCTTTTTTATTGGGAAATAAAATATATTTTTTATTGAAATTCTTTTACAGTTTTACATTACTGGGAAATAAAGAAAGGATATCAGTGGTTGTATTTGTAATTGTTATATTATATTTTTATGGCTTAATATCTATTTAATTCTTTGAAATAAATTTCATATTTGGTTGATTTCATCTGAACGGGTGGCAACCTTCTCATGATCTGTATTGCACATAATTTGAGAATAACAAAATTTTCTCCTCATTATAGGGCGTACCTGAACGAGTAACTGATGAGGTGTTCATAGCAATGTCAAAGGCACTAAACTTCATCAATCCTGATGAACTTTCTATGCAATGTATATTGATTGCTTTAAACAGATTTCTTCAGGTGTGGTCTAAATCCTTTTCCTAAACATTATTCCACTAGCGTTATGTGTTTGACAAGGTCATTTTATTTTCATTCCAGTATCTTTCGAATGGAACCACCAGATTAGTAAAACTCTTTTCATTTCACATACTGGGTTTGTGGAACTTAGGATCAAGTTTTCTTTCTCCCTCCCTCCCTCTCTCTGTCTCTCTCACGCACATGCACAAAAACACAGTGTGGTTTCTTGTAGACTTTTATTTATCTATAATTCTATATGTAAACTAAAGGATGACAATTTCTTCCAAAATGAAACCCAACTAATCTTTTTATTATTAAAATCTTTAATAGGAGAAGCATGGTTCTAAGATGGCCTTTTTGGATGGAAATCCCCCAGAAAGACTTTGTATGCCAGTTGTTGATCATATTCAGTCCTTGGGTGGTGAAGTTCATCTCAATTCACGCATTCAAAAAATTGAGCTAAATGATGATGGCACAGTAAAGAGCTTCTTATTAAACAATGATAAGGTGATTGAAGGGGATGCTTATGTGTTTGCAACTCCGGGTATTTTTTTCTTATTTCCTCACTATTATTAGTTGTTTGCCTGGTGTTCTTAATCTTCATTTCCTCACATTTTTGAGGACTTCTTTTTCTTAAAACAGTTGATATTCTGAAGCTTCTTTTGCCCGACAACTGGAAAGAGATTCCATATTTCCAGAGATTGGAGAAATTAGTTGGAGTCCCAGTCATAAATGTTCACATATGGTCAGTACCGGCTTTTGATGTTGAAAACTATGTCGATGCATGTGTTGTACTCAATTTTTAATTTAAATTATTAGTCATCGTTATTTCATTTTGCTGTCTAATATAGGAAAACTCTCATTCACTGAAAAGTATGGAATAGAAATCTGTGCCATTTGTCTTGAATTGTATTAACGTCATAATTTACAATTTATATTCTTCTTCCAATTGAATTCTTGTAATAGTATTGGTAAATCAAAATTATAAAGACGATAGTGTTGTGGACACCTATTTCAATATGTAAACTAATGTCACTATCACTAACCGATGCAATAATTTACCTTTTCCTTATTACTATTTTAAATTTTTCCTCTCATTATACTGATATATCTTTTCAAAATTCAGAATAACAAGAATAAAATTAATTTGTGATATTTGTCAATGATGATTATATTATTAGCTCCACTGGTGTCACATACTATATACTTTGCAGGTTTGACAGAAAACTGAAGAACACATATGATCACCTTCTCTTTAGCAGGTCTTCCTCACACTTTGAAACAATTGTGATGTCTGGAAGGGATAGAAATGCTGTTTACTATATCTCTTTTGGTTTTTGTGATACATAGATGCATATTATGTTTCACCTTTGTGCTTCACAAGGTTCATATGTTATTATTTTCTCCTCTAGTTGGCAAATTGGGTAAATATAGCATATAAAGATTACTGATAGTAACCTTTTTCATCATAATATTGCAAAGTAACCTTATGGAATCAGAAGCACTACTGAATAGTCTTTTTTGTAGTATGGAAATAGTGTAGAAGATATCATCTCCATGAATGTTTACACTTTAATAAATAATGTGTTGTTGATAATGACCTATCTATTACTAACATTAAATAACATGAGAGTGACAACACCTCATTAGGGCTTATGGCATGTCCTGACCTTCCGCAGAGTGTCCTCTCAATTTTTTTTTATACCAAAATATTTAATACACAGAAATAGACTTTTTTTTCCTTTGGTTTCTGGATGGCATTTGTGGATTATAAAACATTTTCATCAACTCATCTTCTTGTACATTTTATGTTTTTCTTCATGCAGAAGCCCCCTTCTGAGTGTATATGCTGACATGTCAGTAACTTGCAAGGTAAAAGCCTCTTCTCATATGTCATTGATTTGCATTAATGTATTTCCTCAACCCCTGCAAAAGTTTGTGGCCTGCACAGTCTAGGCTAGCATATCCTTGCATATATTTGTAAATAAATACAGAGACACCTAAATGTATTGAGTTAGTGCTTTCTGGATAAACAATAGGTTCTCTCTCTCTACAAATTATTTCAGCTTTCAGCTATTAATGTAATATCTTTTGTTGTTTGTGACTGAATTTCATCTGCATATAGCCATTTGTCTGGTTATCATTGAACGTTGGAATGTTGTTTGGGTAATTGTGTTTCGCCATCTCATGCAGGAATATTATAACCCGAACCAGTCTATGTTGGAGTTGGTTTTTGCACCAGCTGAAGAATGGATTTCACGTAGTGATGAAGATATTATTCGTGCTACGATGTCTGAACTTGCCAAACTCTTTCCTGATGAAATATCTGCGGACCAAAGCAAAGCAAAGATTGTCAAGTACCATGTTGTTAAAACACCAAGGTTTGGTTGAAATTCCCACAGAGATGGATTATTTCCTTTAATTTTTTTTTTTCAAGCATGGATTGCGGACTGTCTTTATTTTTTGGGGTACATTGTGGTATGTTGTTTCTGTTACTGAACTAACGACATTTGTAGCCATTACATTCAGTTGTGTTCTGAATCCTAACGGAACTGACTAAATTGTTTCAGGTCGGTTTACAAAAATGTTCCAAATTGTGAACCTTGTCGCCCCATACAAAGATCTCCTATAGAGGGTTTCTATTTAGCTGGAGATTACACAAAACAAAAATATTTAGCTTCAATGGAAGGCGCTGTTCTTTCGGGGAAGCTTTGCGCTCAGGCTATTGTACAGGTAAAATCTGTCACATAAGAATCTATATGAATGGCAGCAGTATGATAAAAGAATCATTAGCAATTAATGCTATTATGTATATATTTTTCCTTAGTGATTTTGTGAGAGAAACTTGTTCTGAAATATTGATTCAGTAGGATGAATAATGCTGCATTTTGTTGAGGAAATTCTATACCACAGTCCACAGCTTTTCTTGAATCCAGGGCTGTCATTAATTTAAAGAGTCAGTTATTTTTTTTGCATTTATTTATTTTGTGGTTAGAAGGGGGCGAACCGAAGCAGTGGTAAAGTTGTTCCTTCATGACCGAAAGGTCATGAATTCGAATCCAGGAAACAGCCTTTTTGTGATTATGCAAGAGTAAGGCTGCGTATAAGGATTACCTCCACCCCACAGTTGCTAGTCGGGTTTAACGGGGAGTGTTTTTTTTTTTGTGTGGCTAGAACATCTTTATCAAGTTCCAATTGTCCTCAAAACTTTTTACTTTAGGAAAAGGCTTGTGAAATATTTTTATTTATATTTCTAATGTCCCCGACAGCTCTTTGGTTATGAATATTTTTTGAAATTATAATTTAGTTTGAAGAATTAGTGTAACGAGGATTGAACTCCTACCTAATAACGCTATTGGTTAAAGGGACTTCCATGTCATGTCAAGGATTAGTAAATCCTAAAAGCTTGGGTTTCAGATTGAGTATTATTCAATTTTTAATAACTTATGCTTTGGTTGATTTGAATGTTTTTCCTATCATTATCTATCACGTTTCTGCCATTAAGGCTTGCAATTAATATATGCAGGATTCAGAGCTACTAGCTGCTCGGGGCCAGAAAAAAATGGCTCAAGCAAGTGTTATTTAACGATAACAAGAATTGAAGATAAATTGTGGTAGAGTACAGGAGCATCATTTTCAACTTGGTTATTTATCTGTGGTTAGAAGACCTACAACTAGCTTTGTCTGCTGTTTGAGTCACCATATCAGTTGATACGATGAAAGGTTCAGCTTCTGAAATCCAGTTTCACTGTTAACTAGCCAAATATTTTAACGATGATATGTGCGGTAAGAATACAAGGAAAAGCCAATATGAGCAAATAGAAGGCAATTATTGTCCTCCTCCAAGTTATTTGAGCGAAGGGCATATGTATATAGAGTTTTACTATTTATATAATATCTTGTATATCATTTAAGTCTATATTTGTCAGAACCTTGCATTGAGTAGCAAAATCTGAATAAAAGCTAGTGTTTAATTTAACATCCTCTATTTACTTGTAATGAGTAGCTCAAATAAGAAAATTCACCAAAAATTAAGAATAAAATAAAGGGTATTATTTTTCTCATATTATATGAGAAAGAAATTTTTTCATACACCTAAAATGCAATGTGGATCGCATTAAATAGAGGAAAAAGAAAAACATAAAATTGCATTTTGTGTGCGGTGGAGAGAATTTTTCTCAAATATTATATGAGAAAAATAATACCTTAAAATAAATTGTGTAAATAGTTACAGGCCGTGTAATTTTTATTTTTTATTTAAAAAAGGGCCTATTGGCATCTTTTAGTTCTATCTCCCGATAAAATGACCAAAATATAAGACGAGTGTCTATCATTTTAAGTACATAAAGTCGTGTTATTTTAAATAAAAGAAAGATAAATTATAGGAAAAAAATCTTTGTGAGAGTAAAATGACACGAGTTATGTCATTTAAAATGACACACCTTTTATCCCAAAAATATTTATGAAAAAAATAAAAATAAAGTAACGACAACCTGGGTAATTGGGTTTGTATATTGAGTCTGTCTCGTGCTAAAATTTTATTTTGGGTTTTATAATTCTCATTTAACATGAGAATTATAATTTTCCTACATACCTTTCGATTTCCGTGCTGACATGGATTTTATATATAATTTTTTCTAACACATAGGTCTCACATATTTTTTATCTCTACGACACAAAATTTCAACGTAAGAATTATAAAACCCTTTTATTTTAGACGAGTTTGTGTTTGTCGCTAAAATTTTGTGTGTGTCTCCATAAATATTTACGAATTTTGATGAAAACTAGGAGGTGCTAAGGTAAGAGAGGGAGCGTAAAAGATTTGGTGGTGGAAGTGAAGACACTTGTAATGTTGAAATCTCACCTATATCCAAAATCCAATCCAAATATTTTGTATTTCATTTTTTCTTCACCAAAAAAAAAAAGGAAAGATATATCAATTGAAGATGTGAAGGGTGAAAACAAACAAGAATGCCAATCTTCACTGCAACTCTCAGCTCCTTCACTTCCATTTCCTTCCTCTCAGTTTCACAATCACAATTACAACCCGACCCTTCTTCTTCTTCTTCTTCTTTGTCTTCTCCTTTCATCAACCCATTTCGTTTTCCAAAATGTCCCCACAAGTTAACTGTGAGAACACCTTTGAAAATCTTGGTCTCTGGCAATACCCAAATTGAACCAAATTCCGACACTGGAATCCTCCTTCAACGCCCTGCTGTTTCAGACCCACAAGATGACGCTCGTCAGGCTCGGGTCTGTTTGTTTCTCTTCACATAAGCTTTTATTATTTATTCTGTTTTTCCACTCATAATAATAATACTCAACTTTTGTTAAATTCATTCATTCATTCAATTCTTATTTTTAATCCTATAAGCACACTTTATACATAACAAATGAATTTTTATAATGTTATTCAACCCATCAATGAGCATGTTGGTTGGCTAGATTATAATATGGAATTCAAGTCCAATCAACTTTACTCTTTGTGTTGCATTAATGTCAATTGCAATCAGTGTATGTTGTGTTCCATTACTTAATTTCTGCAATGAAGTAGATATCGTCAGATTGGAAGGCTGCAAAGGCATATAAAGATAGTGGACTCATTTATAATGGTAGGGTTGAAACTTTTAATGGTGGAGGCCTTCTCCTTCGGTTTTTCTCTATTCTGGGGTTTCTCCCTTTCCCACAGCTGAGCCCATTGCATTCATCTAAAGGTATCCATATGTTCATCCTCAATCAGCTTTCTCTCTCTCTTTTTGATTTAAGCTGAACAAAAATAAAAATGAAAAATCTTGATGGCAGTTTTACTTTGGACAGTTTAATGTCACTAGTATGTAAATTAAATAGATTTCCTGCATAATATTATAATTTTTTTTTCTGTCATATTGATGAGAATTTCTTACTCGTTTATGTCTGCCATTTTAGTATTCTTTGGTATCCATAACCCATAATATTATACAGATGAAGATTTTCTGGTTTGCTATGCAAGGCAATTCTATTGTTTCAGCATTTGGGATGTTAATCTATATCTTAAGCATGCCATTTAGTCATCTGTGTAGTTATTAAAGCAAATGGAGTTGCAATCGCTGACTATTTGTTGCAACTTTGATCCTTTTGTGTAGAACCACAGAAACCTATCCAAGAAATTGCGCAAGGCCTAATCGGTTCAATCATGTCGGTGAAGGTAAATCATATTATTTGAGTTACCATTTTTTATCATTTTATTCTGCGAATCCAGCATAGTGTTTGAGGCTTCTCTGTCTATTAGTACTGAAACAGTTGTATAAAAGAACCATTATTCCCTGAATCTAGAAAACTAATGTATATTCTTGCAACGCAACAGCCATCTGACTTGAGCCATTTCTACCATCTGAACACTGAAATATAAAAAAGTCGTAATCCCGGTATCTCTTATATTTGGAAGTATTTAGTGCCTCCTGTATTAGTTTAGTTAGGTATCATAATCGTTTTTCTTTATGCTGAATTAGGTTTTAATATTTTCAACCTGCTTGCCAGGTTTAAATGAAGATTTCCTTTAAATTTATAAATGATTGCAGTTTCTTCTAATTGTAGGTAATTCTAGCGGATGAGGATAACAGGAAATTGATCTTCTCTGAAAAGGAAGCTTCCTGGTCTAAATTTTCAGGACAGGTCAAGGTAGGGGACATTTTTCAAGCAAGAGTTGGTTCTGTTGAGGACTATGGTGCTTTTGTTCATTTGCGCTTCCCTGACGGTAACTACCATGCATAACTAATTCATCTATAGTTTTCTGTTTCACTTTATCATGGAAAAGTTACAAGTGACATCACAGAATGATGCAGGTCTTTATCGCCTTACTGGACTAATACACATCTCAGAAGTGTCGTGGGATCTAGTTCAGGATGTAAGAGACATCTTAACAGAAGGTGATGAAGTGAGGGTCAAAGTTATCAATGTTGATTGGTGAGATTCCCAATAGTTATGCTTCTTAAAAGAATTTTCTGTTGATTTTCTTGCTGGTAGACCAACTAAATCGATACTTTAATATCATTGGGTTACATGGTTTCTTGGTTGTCCAATTTCCATGTATATTGTAATTAAGTATTTGGTGGCTTTAAATGTTGTGAAGCTACGTTTTGTTCTGTAATGAATCAACAATTAAAGACACATAAATGGAATTTATATCTACCTTGCTTGATGGTTTTTTCGATTTTGCTCCACTTTGTCTTGTGTGTCTTTATGGACATCATCACCTTTTAACTTATCTAAGTTTTTGCAGTGAAAAATCAAGGATTACACTATCAATTAAACAGCTAGAAGAAGATCCACTTCTAGAAACCCTGGACAAAGTAATACCTCAGGTTTGTATGACCTTAAAATATACATACACATGTATATATAAGTATGCATTATACGTGGAGATGTGGTTGTGTAAGAGTGTGTGGTTGTGTAAGTGTGTGTGTGTGTGTACCGGAAACTTGTTTAGCAATAAGTTCTATATTGCAGGATGAACCAGCTGATCCTGATTCTTTGAGCGGTAGTGATAGCAATAGTATTGAACCTCTTCAAGGGCTTGAAACAATTCTTGAAGAGCTACTAAAGGAAGATGGGTATGTCTCTACTCACTCTTTGAAAAATATGACTATTTTAAATACCAATTATTATTTACAAATAAAGGAGAGAAAGTGCTTATGGCTAAGAAATCCTCCTTATATAGAAAAGAATAAAGCCAAAGAGCTAAACAAAGCTGCCTAATCTCTTAGGGAGCGTTTAGTACAGGAGAAATTTTTTTTTATCCGGAAATCACGATTTCCAAAAAAATAATGAGAAAATGAGTTTTCTGTGAATGTTAGCAAAAGTTGTTTGGTGGACTAACATATTCTCGAAAATATTAGGTTAATTTTGTTGATGCTGTGTTTAATTGTATTAAATTTTTTCTTGTCATAGAAATCCTAAAATATCACTTTCTGGATGGTATTCTTGGATGATTTTTTCAAAAAATTTACACACAAAAGAAAATCTTGAGAAAATCAGATTCACGGGAAAATTTTAAAAATTCTGTACCAAACAATGCATTCTTATTTACCCAACCAAAAAATCTCAGAAAAATAAAAAAAAATCCTGCTACCAAATAGTTCCTTACCATATCAGCAATTGAAATTCCCTAGAAACAATCATATGAGCAAAGCACCAAAATGAGACCGAATCTTATCCCACATTTTATCAAATTTTAAAATGTAAAAGAAAAAACTTAATAAATCTAGTAATTGATTTTCACATTTCTCGATCATGCAGACTTGTCTAACTCGCCGCAAACCAACCTATATTAAGTTAGGTCAAATTGGACCTAAAAATACAAATAGATTTTAATTTTGTAATCTTGTTATCTCAATTCTTTCTCTATGTTAAGTTATTTAGACGAGTAATCTAACTCTTCTAAAATAAACCATAGAGAAAAAATATGAAATTATAAAGAATTTAAAAACATTTCTTCTAATCAAACGCTGAGATTATAATAAAATATATACATTCATATAATTAATAAACTATAAAATTGTTAAAATCTAGTTGTTAATTTTATAAAATTTTTTTTCTCTAAAGTGTAAAACTTAAATTAATAAAAAATAAATAATCATGAGCAAATCACAAATATTAAACCTGAGAGTGGGGTGAGCTTTTTTTAATAATTTATTGATACTCTGTGCTATAAATAGAATTTATCAAGCTAAGACCCACTTTTTATATGATGATAACCTAAGGGACTTGAATGAGCTTTCTTTGCCAACTAGTCATTACACTTAGGCATCTATGGAACATTGTTACACCCGAATTCTGAACCACCCAACATAAGGAAGAGCAAGAAGATCTTTATTTTCATGATAATTTGTGTTCTTTGGTCGTTGAGCCTAAGACCAGCTTCAATCTTCTTTAGTTACAACTAGTGATATATGCAGTCTTCAAAAAATCTTTGCGTGTTCCGCCTATTCAATTTTGACACACAATAAAAATGCATAAACCTACCTGAAAGTCACAACCTTCTAATTGTTACCAAAACCTTCAAATCTTGCATAAAATTACAACCAAAATCTTAAACGGATTATTCCATATATTTTTTGAAAATAAGTAACCATCCTATACAGTTGCTACATGTCATTGTATCAATGCTATTGAGCAACGAAACTCTACCATAGAAGCCGAGCTTTGGGCTTACATATTTATCAAAGATTAACTTGATGCTTAGGAGAATGATTTCTTCTATTGATGGTCAGAAGAAAAGCAGATGGAACTCTAATTATTAGTTTCTCATGTGAAAATAAAATTTCTAAGAAAGAAGACAAAATATCAAGACCTTGAATAAAATAAAGACTTTTGGTGTAAATTAATGCTTATGGGACCAAAAAGACTAGAATATTTTCCCCCAAAATATCGTCCTAAAACTCGTAGGATCTTTGCTTGGGGCTTTTTTATTTTATTTTATTTTTACACGTTACAAAATACTATAATATAAGGGCTGATGATATAAGACCGGATAGCATAAGATCTGATTATATAAAACTTGATTAAATTTAAATGTTTGGTATGAATAGTATAAGATAATATCCTTTAATATTTTAAAAATTAATATATTAAAAAAAATTATTTTAATATATTAATATTGAAATGATATATTAGTTCTTTATACATCATTTTGATGTATTAAGGAGTTCTGCTATATAAACTTATATTATACAATGGTCACATCAAACAACTAAAAATGTCATAACGTATAATATAAACTTTATACTATCAAGTATTATAGATCATATCAAACACGCCCTTAGAACATGTTATACAAATTTTTTTTAAAAGAAACAAAATTAAAATTTTCTATTATGTCTGATGACTTTTCTATGGTATGATGATACTCTGTCGCAGTATATATGATACAAGAATCAGCCGTCAAGGGTTTGAAAAACGGGTGGTCTCACAAGACTTACAGCTTTGGCTTTCTAATGTTAGTTTCAGAATTCTTCCTAGTTCTAAGATAATCAAAGATGAGAAAAACTTTTATTTTGGTCATAGTTTTCTCCTAATTTCTGAATCTTTCATCATCGCAGGCACCTCCCACGAACCAAAGGTTTACTCTCCTTGCTCGGGCTGGAAGACAGGTAATAAATCCCTTTAAATAATACTACTTACACATATTTTCTACTTGTACTCATATCATTACATATATTTTAATGTGAGATTGATTAACACCTCATATAAACGTGAAATAATGTGAGATTAAAGTAGTGCACAACAGGGTCCCTTTACCTATGTAACAATATTTAAAATGTACCATATCCTTCCTAATTTCTTGAGAAAGTTTTCTCCTGTGATTTAGGTGCAAGAGATACATCTGACTACATCCCTTGATCAGGAAGGTATCAAAAGGGCATTACAACGGGTATTGGAGCGTGTACCCTGAATCTGATTTGACTGAGAGCTCTTCCCTCCCCATAATCACAGGGATTTTGTACAGTTATCACACATTTAAAGTTCAGATGCAATGTATTGATATATCTGATATCCTCAATGTACCCTAAAAATGTCAACTCGTAATGTAAAGCTCGCAGAAAAGTTCTTGTTAAAAACACTCCATTTAATAACAGCTTTCTTGAATTCATTCAGAACATGCCACACATTTATGCTATACCTGATTCTCACTATTCTCGGCAGACAAAGAGTATATCATCATTCATGCAGCTGCATTATAGGAAACACGTACTGTATAATTTGCACAGACAATCGATAATCAACCACAGGAAATGAATATATATATATATATATATATATATATATATATATATATATATGACATGAAAACTTTATTATAGTATCTTCGTAATAAGTTCTCAAAAGGGTGTCAATGTCTTCACAACAAATAGAGACCATGCATCGAACTTTAAGACATATAGAACCTCTCCACGCTTTGATATCATGTCATATTAGATGAAGATACATAAGTAGTTTTATATATATATTACATTTTTACCACATGCATAACATGTTCAAACATAGACCCTGGTGGCGGAGGGGGGAGCTGGATAATCCTTCAGCTCGACTTCCCTCAGCTTAGTCTTGAGGCCCTTACCTCCTCCATTTGCCAATGGATGAATTCCATGTGTTGGACCTGTCATATATTCCCTGTTCTTTCTCTCTTTCTCAAAGTCCTTCCCCATTCGCTTCGCACAACCTGCGTGTGTGTAGCAAAAACAAATCATTATTATTAAAGTAACAAAATACGTAGAACCTAATTAAAACAAAAACATAAATATATAAGATATATATACTTTGGACGAGTTCATCATAGATCTGGCCATCTCTAGTGAGAGACATCATGAGCTGAGGTATCCCAAGTGGGAGAGTGTCACCTTTGTCAACTTGCCAGAAATGGTACACTTTACCATAAGTCTTGCACACATTCTCCATGTCTTTGCGCTCTATGGGACCTGGTACTCCCGGCATGAAATATAAGCCACTCTTGACCTCGTACTCGTGAGAGTGCCAGAGACGCTTCTCCTCGTCCGGAAGGGTCAAGAACAGGTTCTCAGATATTATGTACTCAATTCCTATTAGCTTAGCGTTGTCCTCGGGGCTGTCGTATATAAGACACTGCCTCATCTCCTCGTTCTGGTGCGCGCAAAAGTGGTGTGCCTCCAATTGCCGGGTCATGTCGTAAGAGTAAAAGTGAAACCTACGAAAACATTTGGTTCAAGTATATATATATATATATATACGAAAAATATTTCTCCAACACTTTCGAGCACTCCAAAATTACGTCATTTTATTTATTTATTTTCTTATATTAATTGATTCATCTGATTATGATTTTTTTTTTCTCCCTCTTCCTTTTTCGCTATTAATCATTTTTGTAGGATTATGATTTAGAGAAACAATAAGATATATATATATATATATATATATATATATATATATATAAATATATATATATATGAGGTTGTATTCTTTGACATTAATGTCAAATTTCAAATTTGACACCTCATCTGAGAGCCATTAATAAAAAAAATCAACGATTTTAATTTATAAGAATGTGACACCATTAATCTTTTTTGATCTAAAAACTCTTAGATGAAGTGTCAAATTTTAAATTTGATACTGATGTCAAAGAATCCTACTCCTATATATATATATATATATATATATATATATATAGGGTTATGTTTATCTCATTTTACATGAGATAAACATATCTCCTACACACACAAAAAGGAGTTGGATCCCACCATTTTTTTTTCTCTCTCCTCTTACATGTGGGTCCCACTTATACTTTTATTTCTACAACATGAGGTAATTCTTTTCCTACAAGATAAGAAAAATATATCCCATATATATATATATATATATATATATATAACGTTCAACTCAAACTTACAAGATAAAGAAAAAATTAGCCAACATTACAATAATAATAATCAACATATATATGGGACAGTTTAACATTTCATCTCCTTAATCTAAGGATTTTAATTTGTAAGTATTGAAAATTTTAAGTATCAAATGATCTTTGTCATACATATATTAGAAATTAATTCATTGAGTAATGGAGAGGGGGCTCACGCGCATTGATGCTGATGGATTTTGTTGACAGGACCGAAACCTTGGATAGCAGCTGTAGCTGTCTCAAGGATGGAAGTGCCGATTGTAGTTTGGACACCAGGTACTTCTGTGTAGGTGCTGTTGGTAGACATTTTTGTGTTCTAGAGAGAACTCAAATATTTGAGGATGGTCCTTTGCACAAAAAAAAAAAATATTTGAGGATGGTTCTGTTCTTTTATTTGGTGTAGAATAGATAAATATATATATATTAATAGATGATAGAGATCTCATCTCATTTGCATATTTGCCACTATGACTATGTGGCAGAGTGGTAGATGTGGCTGATTTTGGAAGGAACAAGTATTATGAAGTATGAGGGCATCGCAGGCATGCAGCTTTACGCGTGGTTGAGGAATTAGTAGACGTGGCAGGCTTCAGAAATTGCGTGGTATTAGACGTGGCCTTTGCGCATCATTTCTCCATCTCCAAGTTTTGGAAAAATTAATTGAAAAACCAAAGAATATATGTTACTGAAATTTGGCGACATGTTTAAGAGAGTTTAAAAATTTAAATGTCATCGTTATAACTGCATGGAATAGTATCTCTAGTTATGTGTTAGCAAGACAAGACTCATTATTTACTAGGTATTATTTTAAGGGTTTTGTTAAACAATATCTTGAATAATGAAGATAATATTTACGGATATTTGATACTTTATAATAAATATTGTTTTTAGTTATGTAAAGAAGTGAGTATTATATTTTTTGTGAATTTTAATATAATACTTTTTTTAAAAAAAAATTCTTAACCAATGTAACGTCCGATCACTTCATGAATCAATGACTATCTCCACATACTAATACGAGAATTTTCAGTGTGCTTTTTTCTCATTCTCACACTTCCCGGGAAAACTTCTCAAGAAGTCACGTGTAACACCTCGTGTTAACCCGGTTTGTTAACATGTCATCGTATTAAGTCACACTTAATTAAAAATTTGCGGAATATCCTTTTTAAGAATTTTATGACGTCATTATCATTACCAAGTTGAATTACTTAATTCATTTCTAAAACATTGCCTGTATGTAAATTGCAAATAGACAGCTAACTGAAATACCTCATAAATAAATAAGTGAGTATCTAAGTCACGGATCTACAACACGTAGTCCGGACATAATCCTGATACAATTATACAACTTGAAACAACTAAAAACATAAAGTCAAGTCAATGTGGCATGGCCAACCCCCATGCTCACCAAATAAGGCAACAACGCCTAACAACAGTCTCAAATCAAACAACATGACAGTAAAGATAAAGCAATGTCAGCATCCAGCAAAATCATCATAATAACATGCAATCAGCTAAGCTCCGGCCTCCTGCCGCTAGAGGTCTCAACCCCTGCATTACCTGAACCTGAAATATGTGCCCCAAACGTGGGGTGAGATCTCTAAACAGAAATCTCAGTAAGACATGGGGTCCTCAAGGATCTTCCACTCCAAGCTCACATACATGTGCAATATAAGTTCTAAAAGCAGTATTTCAATATCAGTTCCAAAACAGTGCAATGCAACAGATAATCATGTCATGTGTGTTATAACTATTCTACTGATCAGAGAAGTGCAGGAATACGTCTATTACTCACACAGTACACGCCCATGCTGTACCCACCCCCAGGACCACCCCATGGCTTCCTGGCTAGGCGAAACACCACATACATATCATAAGCATTTTGCACTTAACAGCTCCATAGCATTTCAATAAAATAGTACATGAAAACACATCATGCATATAAACCATCCCCCCACAGGACATGGTGGAGCATACAATGGCTAAACTGAGGACACGAAAGCTTACCTTGCAAGCTAACTATTCAATGCCAAGAGTCCACACTAGCTCAAAGTCCACACACGACACAATCACAATCTGTTTGGACCAACAATAATATCAATATTCATACTCAACAAGCATACGGTATAAAGACACCGCCTTTCCTTTGCGTTTCAAGTCTTAAGGCTTCTCACAAAGCCACAAGCCCTTAATCCTTTGATTCTGACTTAACTTAACCATTACATAAGTTCAACTTCCACAATCTTGGGTCCACAAACCCATAACTCAGTTCTGTATGAACAATACCGTTACTGTTCACGCAAACCCAGAATATCCGGATATTTGTCTGGGACATATCCGGATATCATATCCGGATATGCATATCCGGATATGCATATCTGGATATCCATATTTGGATATCTCAAGACCTCATATCCGGATATTATATCCGGATATTTCGCGACAGAATGCAGTTCTGCATTTCGCGAGATATCCTTCCCAAAGGTGGTTCTTTTCACGATTTCAGAAGCTTAAACATGCATTTCTATGTGTGTTTAACCTTACCCAACCTTAAGTTATTATCTTTTTCTCATTACATGCATCAAGGCTCTATTTTAACCATTAAAACTCATGATCAAGGTAGGTGACACTTACCTAAGCTTAAAACAGAGCAACAATGGCTCTTGGAGCTCACCAAACAGCTCCCACAGTTCTGACTTCGTAGGGAAACGAAAATGACTACAAAGCAATGTCCTTTCCCAACAAAGGTGGCTCCTTGAAGCTCAACAAGAAAGGAACAAAGGCTCTCACAACCCAACCCAACAAGTCAGCACCCCAAACACAAGAAAATAGCACCTTAAACTCAGAAAAGGGAGCACCTTACACTCTCTCAAGCCAATGCACACTCACACAATGAGTTTTAGAGAAAGAACCAAGAAGAAATGAGGTCTTTTGGCTCCAAAGGTGAAGGGAAAGATGAAAGTGGCAAGGTGGCTGTTCAAACTTCAGAAAATCTCACGTAGAGAAACTGAGCATGCCTAGGGTTATGTGGCAAAAGTTGTATATATAGTGTTTTAAGAATTAAACACACAATATTAGCACTAATTGATACGCTTAGCGTTTTAATCCCAAACTTAGGATTCTGGACCTACTCATTTTTCTAAGATTTATCATATTTTTATTTTATTTTTTGCAGCACCTTTTCGATACGCGCTTTTCCATAGCCAATATCAATTCTGGCATCAGTTCTCGTTATTTTAACTTGAAACTCGTTTTACAAGTCCTATATATTATTCTAGTGACATATACACACTTTTCATAATTTTTCGGGATACTTCATCGGTACGCATTTATACCGAGTAGCAAAACCGGTATCTGCACTTTTCGTCAGAAAAGCGACTTTCAGCATTATAAAACACTTGCCATAATTATTTAAGCTTTATAATAATTTTTAGGGTTAATTATAGAATTATTTCATAATTTCTTATAATTAATTAATTAACGGTGCAGGTTCTTACATCACGCATCCCATAATTACTGCAAGTCAAGTACGTTTAACTATGAAGTTCTTCTGTTCTGGGTTACCGAAAAGTAGATGCATCTTATTAGTATAAGTAGTACCAATTAATTTTATAAGTTATCCTCAACTGTGCAGTCTCATACCTGCACAGTATTTGGAATCTCTCTCTTTCGAGTGTCGATTTGATTCATTCATGTAACCCCAGCTGGAAGCCTGTCAGGAGCCGCTCCTTGTCTGTGTCATTTCGCACCGGCGATCACTCCCCGCCCTCGTCAGCGCTCGGGATGTTACATGCCCACCAGCTTCCGCTTGGTTCGTCCTCGAACCACACCGTACTAAAAGAGAGTCTGTGCTCTGATACCACTTGTAATGCTCGACCGCTTCAAGAATTAATGACTATTCTCACATACTACCACGAAACTTTTGAGTGTGTTTTTTCCTCACTCGCACATTTTTCAGGAGGCCATCCATCCCAGAGTTACTGCAAGTCAAGAACGCTTGACTATGGAGTTCTTCCGTTCTGAGCTACCGAATAGTAGAGACATCTTGTTAGTATAGGTAACACCAATTAATTCTTATAAGCTATCTCCAACTGTGCAGTCTCATACCTGCACAGTCTTTGGAATCTCTCTCTTTCGGGTATCGATTCGATTCATTCATGTAACCCCCGCTGGAAACCTGTCAGGAACCGCTCCTTGTTTGTGCCCTTTTCTCCTGCCCTCGTCAGCGCTCGTGATGTTACAACCAATATTGTAAAAGAGTTTTTAGAAAATATTTTTTAATTATGTTGATTATCATTGACTTTCACCTTAAACATATTTTTAGACAATGTAAATGGGGCCTTACGCGTTGAATGGGATATCTCTTGCTTTATAAATATATAAACATATTTTTAATTATCATTTATTTTTTATGTACATGACTTTTGCTTCATTTTTATACTTTTTCTGAATGATTCTTGTAGATATATACTTAATTTAATTAGTGCATTAAGACAATAAAATATTAAAATAAAAATAATGAAATAAGACTTTGCAAACTTAATTTATTTTTAAAGTAATCAAGTAAAAGTATATTCTTTTTTCACTAAAAGAATATTTCATTAGCTTACCAAAAAAAATATTTCATTTATGTTTTAATATAAAATACTTATTATATTAAAAATTTATTATAATCTCTTCATATTATATATTTATCGACTTATTTAAAAATTCATACTTAAATCCATTAACTTATTTAAAATTTATTATAAAATGAATACTAAATAAACTTTCAGATTAAATTAAAAATTTAAAAAATAATAATAAGGTGATTAAGTATAATTAAATGCCATATTTATGTAGGATATTCATGATAACAATTCTAAAAATATTTTAACAATTCATGAAAAATTGTATTTGATAAAATATGTTTTATTTTATTTTTTAAGAATGGATTGGTAATTCAGAAATAAAAAAAAACACATAAATAAAAAAATTGTTTCTTCTCAGTTGCCATTGCACGCCCTTAATACAAGTTTCGAAGTAGCATGACCCGTATTCACTCTGGTCCTTATCTCTCTAAGCGAAGACAGCTGCGATGAGAACCCAAATTAATGAATAACGTTACCTACATAGAACATTTTCTATGGAATATTTCTGCTAGGTAGGGCTCGGTAAAATTGGTTCGGTGTGGTGGGTCAACCCGTCACACTCACTAAGTGCCTGTTTGGATCTTCTTTTCTTAAAGCTAGAAGCTACTTATAAGCATAAGCTAGGCCAAACAGGTTTTGAAAAAAGTTCTTATAATGAAAAAGCTCTTTTTTCTATAATGAAGAAAAAAGCTGAAAATTAAAAGCTCCTAGGAGGAGTTTTTTTTAAGCTCTTATCTGTTTTTCTTGAATTGCGTGTTTTTTTTTTAAATGAAGAGTGATAAAGATATAGAGAGAGATAGTTTTCTTGAAATATGTGATTTTAAGTAAATTTTAAGCTAAAATTTTCATGTAATTTCCAAACAGCTTTTAGCTTCTTTTTTTAATTTTTTTTTAGCTTTAGCTGCTTCTAGCTTAAAAATAAGAAGATCCAAACAGGCTCTAAATAGGTGGAATGGATTGAATTTTACAACTCATCTCAAATGCAAGGCGGGACAGGCTCATTCTTTGACAGGTCGATAGTGAGCATAAACAGAGCAAAATAGGTCAGTATAAAATAGACTCGTCTAACAGGTCAACCTACCAAACAGGACAAATTAACTCATTTTTTGACTGGATGGAAGGAGCCGCCCATATTGCTAGTTCTACTTAGAAACAAACATAACTTTGTATATTACTTTAAAAAAAAAAAAACATAAGTGGATAATCAAGTTTTGATTATTAGTGTTTGATGATGAGGTGTTGCAGCCTTGCAGGTATTCCACAAGTTGTCAATTTCCCCTTCCGTCAGTCGCTGCTTAATGCGAGTATGATTTGATATCACGACATTGGTAGACAAGAAGAGTCTTTCGGTAATTAATTAAAGACTAATAGAAGAAGCGGACAGAAGACAAAGTTGACTACTATATGTACTTTTTTTTTTTTTGGAAATATATGTACTTGTTTTTTCAAAACTTGATTATGATGTTCTGACTTCTGACTACTTCAAACTTCAAACGTTCCTTGTTCACGTTACCTACTACTTACGTTACCTATCCTAATTGTTCTATTAATAAATAAAACAAAAAATCCAAATGGAGTGTCACTGTCATAGGAGGCAGAGTGACGCACGGTCAAATATGATTGCAACTACTTATGGCAACCCATTAATTTATTCAAGGTCAAAGGTCTTGGTGGCGGAGGCTAATGGTGTAATGCTTCATATCATATATATATATATATATATATAACAAGTTGTGTTTGTTTTGATTTGTTATTTGTTTTGATTTTTTATTTATTGTGGTTGGTGAATATGGTGATGGAGGAGGGTGGTGTGTTTCCGATTGAGATAGAGGCGTTGGAGTGTCTGGGTAAAGGGTTTGATCTGACAAGTGATTTTAGATTGAAATTTGGAAAGGGAGATAAGAGGTTGGTGGTTCTTGATGAAGTTAACAAAAGGGACATTATGGTTCCTGGTGGAGTTACCATTCCACATGTTTCCAATGATATTCGTTGTGACAAAGGGGATCGGATTCGCTTCAAATCTGATGTCCTTGAATTCAACCAGGTTTGCTTCTCTCTCAACAAATTCCCCCCCCCCATGTTGTTTTTCTTTACATTGTTCAAAATATTTATAATATTATAAATATATTTCATTGCTGTTTGCATAATTTTAGTTATACTTTTAACATATATATTATATGGTTATATATTATTATTTATATAATGGGTTTTATAAGAGTTACGTTGTAGGAAAAGTGATTGTGTAATGTTATAGAGATTCGTTTCGCGCACCGTAGTTTTTTTTTTTGTTTTTAAGCCTTGTTACATGACTCTTTCTTTCCTTGCAGATGTCTGAGTTGCTTAATCAGAAATCAGCTATACAAGGAAAAATTCCTTCTGGCTATTATAACGCTCTATTTGATTTAAGTGGTGATTGGTTTCGTGATGCTAATGACATCAAATATCTTGCTTTTGATGGTTATTTCATTTCACTGTACTATTTCCACCTAACTGCTTCACACCTGATACTGCAAGAGGAAGTAAAGAAGTCTGTCCCAGCTCAGTGGGATCCAGCTTCATTGTCCAGGTAAGCACAACGCTACAACAATCATTTATAGTAGACGAATGAAAATATCTTTGTATGCTTGGAGTAAAACTAATTTACTTGAGTTTGATTTTTTGCTGGTAATTTTTCCATACCAAGTCATATATACGTATCGTTATAAGTGTAGTCTTAGAATTGTTGCGATATTCAGGTGTGATGAGTCCCACGTTGGTTTATAATGGGTTAAGTTCACTTGGTGTATTTGATCCGCTTAGCTCATTGGTGATAGTCCCCCGCCACGGGCTTCCCCCTGGACCCGCCTGACAGTGGTATCAGAGCCGGATTGTGCTCGAGCTAGCCTGAATATTGGCTAGGAGGCGGGTGGATTACTTTGGGCTTAGGTACTCAGTTGAGGGAGAGCATATCAATTTTGGGTTTCACACTTAAGGGGGAGATTGTTGAGATATTCAAGTGTGATGAATCCCACATTGGTCGGTAATGGGTTAAGTGAAAAGTATATAAGTGGAAGGACCTATAAACCCAATGCCTTAAAGTTTTGGGTTGAGATGTGATATCGGACCCACTTGCTACGATTGATGTAGCTTAGCCCATCGGTGGTTATCCCTACGCCACGGGCTTCCACCGGACCCGCGTGACAAGAATGTGGTAAATTCTCCTCTCCTCAAACCAAAAAAGAAAAACAAGTTTGCACTTCTTTGGTTTTTAATCTCTCATCATTTTAACCATCCTTAAAAAAATTTTGTTTGTTTGGTAATGAAGAACCAATTGATAAAAGAATGTCATATCTTCCTTACCTTCAGGCTTCAGCATAAAGCTCAAATTACCTTTTAGACAGAGTTCTTGTTAGCATACAGTTGATGTAAAATGTTGTGTTCATGCTTGAATGCTTTAGAAGTGAAACAGTCTAGTAGAGTTACTTATGTTGACACCCTTTTAGGATTATGAATCCTGCATGATTTTGGATTAATAAGTATAATGTTGCTGATCAGTTTTGTTAGGCAGGTTCATTCATACATACGGTACGCACATAATAATAGGCATGGCTGTTGGGGGTCAAGATGTAATATGTGTCAAACAAAAACATTCTTCAAAGATTGCCCCTAGTGATCTCAGAAGACATTTAGAGGATCTTGGAGATTTCATGTTTTCAGATTCAAGAAGTCCTTCCTTACCACAGAGAATAACTACAGATGGCAAACAAAAAGTATAGAGCTTTATCTTCTATAATTCTTACATATTTGTTACCTATCTGTTGATGCAATATCTCTCTTCATGTAGGTCCCTGAGGTCTTTAATCGTGTGATGCAATCAAGCACAACGCAGTTCACCAGCATCTCAGAAACATCAAGCAAGGATGTAAGCCATAAAAGGGGAAAATATTTTCAATTTGAGAATTGAAATGAATAAAATTTATAGGCTGTTAAGACCTTCCTTTTATCATGGAACAGGGCCTCACTATTATTTGCTCAAAAAGAGGAGGAGATGTGTTCAAGCAGAGTCATTCAGATTGGCTCCAGACAGTGGCTTCTAATCCTGAAGCAATCATCTTCAAGTTTATTCCTATTTCCTCACTTCTGACAGGAATTCCTGGAAGTGGCTATCTTAGTCATGCAATCAATTTGTATTTGCGCTGTACGTTTTTCTTCTCAGATCTAACAGTAATACTATAATCTACTACTTTTGTGAATCCATGTCCATTTTATACTGTTTCAATGAATAAACTCTATTATGATGTGGCCTCAAATTATCCTTATCTTCATTTTCTATTTTTAGTCCTTTAAGGTACAAAACACTTCATTGATTCACTTGTTCTTTACAGATAAGCCTACTCCTGAAGATTTACAATACTTCTTGGAGTTTCAAATTCCCAGGCAATGGGCACCTATGTTTGGTGAGCTACCTCTGAGGCATCAATGGAAAAAGACCTCTTCCCCTTCCCTGCAATTTAGTTTCATGTGTCCGAAGCTTCATATCAACTCTGCAAAGGTACTGTTAAATAAACCCTCCTATTTCTATTTGAACAAGCAAGTATTGGCAAAATGCATGTGTGGGACTTTATTGGCTCTGACAAAAATTTTCTTCTGTCACTTGTGGTTTGTAATAAATTTTGGTGGGATTATAAATTTAGGGGATTCTTTGACCTACTTTTGTTTCCTATATCCTAACTAGGGATCTAAACAAGCTGGACTTTGGCTTAAATAGGCCAGATCAGTGTGAAATACTTTAAGTTTGACTTAATCTGTTTGACTAGTGTAGTCCCAAAATATAAATCTGCCTTGACCTATATTTAAAAAACAAAAGCATTAGCCTAGGTCTGTTAGCCTGTCTAAGCTTAGTAGGCATTCAATAATTAAAAAAATGATTAAAATAATATTACTTTATTATTTAAAATAATTAAAATAATAATTCTATTAATTTTATTTAAAATAAATAATATAATATAGGCCGGCTTGAAGGAATATAGGCTGACCTGTAGACTTATAGGGCCGACATATAAAAGAAAGCCTATGACTTGCTTTCTAAATAATCTTTTTTAAAAGTCTAAGCCTGTTCTATTTAACTATAGGCAAGCCTATAAATAATATAGGTCAACTTGAAGTAATAGGCCGAGGCTGGCCTGATTTAGGATTACGGCCCCTGTTAGGCCGTCTAGCTCATTTACATCTCTAATCCTAACTACCTTTTTTTTTCAATCCTTAATTTGTTACCGTTCTTGAGTCTTCTTGTCGCACTGTGAAAAGTGGGAATCTGAAATAGATGGTATAAGGTAGGACTAGGATGTAAATCCATACTATTCAAGTATAAGGTAGGAATATAGGCTGGCCTGTAGCCTTATAAGACCGGCATGTAGAAGAAAGTTTATGACCTGCTTTCTATTTGACAGACTGGCGTGCTAGGCAGGCCCTCTTAGGCCATTTGACTCATTTACATCCCTAATCCTAACTATTTTTTTTTTTTTTTTTAATACTTAATCTGTTACCATTCTTTAGTCTTCTCTTCGCACTATGAAAAATGGGAATCTGAAATAGATGGTATAAGGTAGGACTAGGATGTAAATCCATACTATTCAGATAAATATGTCTTGAAGAATTATAAGATTCAGGGGCTGATAAGTCATGGGGATCTGGTTTTTCCATCTACACTTACCTTTTAAATGAAGTGGCAGTGAGCTATATACCAAGAGCGTGAAGTTAGATGTTCTATTTTATTTTAGTGGATCCAAAAATCTAAACCAGGAAGGTCATATAATTACTATAGGTTTATTCTGGAAGCGTTACTTCATTAAATGTGCTCCGTTGTAGAGACTTATCCCTCTTGTTTTATTTTGCTCCACTGATCTTATATCCGCTTTAGATAATATGGTTGACATAATATGTCTATTGTTCAGTTGACATAATATGTCAATTGTTCATCATTTATTCTAATAGTTGACATATAATGTGTCTATTGTTAATCATGGAGTTTTATACAAAATATCAGGTAGTAAGTGAACAAAAACCTGTGGTGGGACTCCGCTTGTACTTGGAGGGCAGGAAATGTGATAGACTTGCAATACATATAAATCATCTTTCAAGCCTCCCAAATACAATGATACTCTCTTCAGGCACCTCAACACTGAGCAAGCCATCAATGTGGAGAGGATCTGATGATAATGAATCCAGTGACCAATTTCTGGAACCAATAAGGTGGAAGAGATTTGCAAATGTGTGCACCTCAGTGGTTAAGCATGACCCTAACTGGTTGCATGAATCATCAAGTGGTGTGTATATTGTAACAGGTGCAAAACTCATTAGCAAAGGGAGTTGGCCAAGGAATGCACTTCATTTGCGTCTTCTCTTTACTCACATACCCAATTGCACTATCAGGAAGTCAGAATGGGCTGCAGCACCAGAGGCTTCAAGAAAATCATCTTTCCTAACAAATCTGAGCACAACTTTTACATTCACACAACAAAGTGTAACTGGTCCTCGGAAGCAGACTCCAACTGAACTTAACTCTGGTGTGTATCCAGATGGTCCACCTGTCCCCGTTCGTTCTAGTAAACTGCTTAAATATGTGGAGACAAGTGAGGTTGTGAGGGGCCCGCATGATGCTCCTGGTCATTGGTTGGTAACAGCTGCTAAGCTTGTCACAGAGGGTGGCAAGATTGGATTACAAGTGAAGTTTGCATTGTTAGATTACTAGTGGTTCCAAGTTACTCCTCTTCTCTGCATATGACTATATGATATGCAGAGAAATATTGGTGGATGTAATTTGTTGTTACTTAAATTATTTTGTTTTTTTGAAACTACAGATAACTTGTACATATGCTTTATGATGGCTTTGATCAGTATATATATATAGTACACAAAATGTGTGGTGGTTGACTTCAGCCAATAGAAAATTAAAAGGTTGCATTTTCGTTTTGATCGACTGGGAAAAATTTGCATGCACTAGGTGCATGTTGTGCCAGAACAAGGAAGCCATAATTGACTTGATTAATTTAGATTTGGGTTGCACCATGCAATGTTAGTCGAACCAACCTTCCTATAACTATATGTCTGTTAGTCAAACCTGATAAATTTATGCATTTAACCATTATTTTAAGGAAATAAAAGAGAGTTAGATGATATATAAGAAGGAAACAATAACCATATCAATCGCGAGCTTACCTGAAATATTAGCTTGGTTGGGGACTTTCTTTCTTTTTCTTTTTTTTGGGAAACAGACTTTCTTTCTTTCTAATGTAATAGGTTTTTCTCGTACCTGCTAGAAATGAATAAGATGACTTTGATGAGTGTATGAGTGATACTACCTCCACAATGTAGTGTAGCACTTAAATCTTTGTCTGCCTTTGATACTGTGTATTTGGGAATACGGGCCTTCAAAAATTTAACTTAATATTTTTTTAGAGTAAAACCTCTTTCACAAAAAATACGATCCTCATTTTCGTCCCTTACAAAAAAAAAATCCATATTAGTCATTTTTAGGGACTAAATTGGATCTTCATTGAATTTCTGAGAGACTATATTTTCAAAGAACTAGAATTGTAGAGGACCAAAAAGTTAAATTAACTTTTTTTTGTAAAGACGAAAGTGGGAATCGTGTTTTTTTATTAGGGACCCAAAATAGACGTTACTCTATTTTTTAAAAATAAATTGTTCTTTCTATTCCTGCTGCATGGCTTGTTTCTGATTCTTGTAATCATTAATTTAGTAATCATGCAACTTTACTTGGAAAGAAAGGAAGGTTAAAGGATGTCCTAAGTTATGTGAAAAGTTTTAGGCTAGAGCCTATAGCGGGACTATTATTAATGGACTAAATTAACCCAGCCACATTAAGTGAATTCAACGTCGTGTCTCAACTTAAAATCTTAAAATATTAGATTCCTAATTTCTTCCATTTATATAAATTTCACTTGGCCCGTTACTAATTAATGCATGACTCTATCAGTATCACATTTGAATATCCTAACAATTAATTTGTCAATCAATGGTTAATAACATTTCACCTCTCAAGGTGAAATCACAAATTAAATAATCCACTTCGCTAAGAAAGGTTGTTGTAGCATCATGACAAAGTTGTTATATACCAAAAGCAGAGAAAGAAGTGAAAACAACAGTAGGTGGCTGTTTGCACCATGCAGGACAGAGAAAAGAACGCGCACAAGGCATCGAAGACTACAGGGCATGCACATAATGATAGTGCAGTGCACACAGGGTACCGTGTATATAATTCCGAAAGATATCTTCTAAAGCACTATATTCAGGAAGCTTACTCAGAAAAGCAATGGTAATATCCGAATGAGGTAGTGCATTATGGAGCAGTCAAAACTGTCATGACCAATGCCCCTCACTCCATGAGCAATCATAGCTAGCATCGTGACATTTCGTTATACCTTACATAATCATGCTCTTAACCACCATGATCATTGTTTCAAAATGAATTGCCATAGACTTAATCAAATACCCTAACAGAAGTGTCTAAGATTGGAAATGAGAAGGTTGATCATTCAATACTTGATCTCATGTTCATTATTGTTTTATCTAAAGTTGGATTATTTGATGATAATTGAAAGAACATTTAGGCGAGCGCAATGAACTAATAATAACTGCTTAACTAAACCTAAGGTAACATCATTTGATTACATATCCAAAACAAGAGGTACATAACTTTTGGAGTAAGACTTTCTGCGATATACTTCGAACTAGATTTTGGTAAAATATAATGGAAAATATTATATTTACAAATTTTTTATTTACAAACTACACTAAGTATGACAAGTCATACTTTAATCAAGAGTGTATGACTGATTATACTTAGTGTAATTTGTAGAAAAAGTGTGTAAACGAATTCTTTCCCAAATATAATATATATAAAAAATATTACTACTCGGATACGAGAGTAGAGTTAGACTATAGGTCTAGATTCAATGTCATAATCATGAGACATTTTCTGCTTTTTCCTTTTTCCTTTTCTGATTTAAGCCGTTAGCAAAGTGCATGTGGTCTTCATATCAGAACAGCTTTTGGACCACCAAAGAATTCACGGACTTTTTGGCTATTTGCTTAAGAAAGCTGGGGCAGTAGTTGAGAATACTTGTTGATTTCAATTTGTTTATCTTTTTCCACGTGGGGTCCATTTCTATCCCATCTCTTCACCCTTTATATTCTAAGGGAAATAGATTCTCTCACGTTAAGGTTTTACATGACCTGTTTATGTGAAATTTTTATATCTATTTCTTTTTTCGTTAATAATAATTGAATCCCACTTATTTAATGCATGTGAAAAAAGAGATAGACACAAATTTTTTACATAACCAGATCATATAAAATTTTAACATGAGAGGATCCGCTCCCTATTCTAATAGATAATAAAATCAACTCTGAGGCATCTTGGGTAAATGCGTGCAACTGACACAGTAAATATTAAAGAGCTTTTTTTTGGTCAGTTCTAGTCATTAAAAAGTGGAAAAGGAGCAATGTGTGTGTGCAACTTGAGAATCTGAGCATGCATGTGCACAATGGTACTAACTGGATTTGATAATCAAGAAGTTGAGTTCCAATCTGTTCCAGAAAGATAACAAATTCAAGAGTAAAAAAAAAAACCCCACTAAATTACTAAAAGTTTGAATCTCATCAAGGTGTCGCCCAATTCTTCTGAATTTCAAAGTAGTAGCTGACATCCAAGTAGCATCTTTTATCGTCATCCACAAACTGAAGCAAGAAAACTGAGTTAGTTCTTCTTATTCATCAAAAAAGTAGTATTCCATCCATAATCAACTTTGTAAGGTTGACTGAATATTTTACCTTAGTTCTTGCCGCATAGGTTCCCCTGACAAACATGCCAGAAGGGGTAGTTTCTTCTTCCAAATCATATGTATATGGTTCCTGCTGGGGGCTAAAAGTTCCCAACATTCTTTTTCTGCTATCCACTGTTACAAGATATTCATGAAAGCCAAGTAACAAAGACAGTCAAAGTAAACACAAATAAGAATCGTGTATTACCTCTAACACCAGTTTTCCAAACAATATTTGTGTATTTGAGACCAGAAACGATGTTGTTGGAGACAGTGAAGGTGAATTTCATGCGACATTGGCTTCCTTCCTTAAGGATGAAGAGACTCTTCTTAGGATCATTATTAAAAGGAATTGGCAATGTGAGGTCGGGCCTGTCTGGGCTTGTAATTGTGAGGCTCAGTATCTTCACTTCTGGGTCTTTACTTTCTTCATTTCAAAACAAAAGAGCTTTCACATTTTCAAGGCTTTAAAAAAAATCAACTAGGAGCAGAAATGAAAAACTTACTGGCACAATATATGTCCAACATTTCTCATTGAAAAAATTTCATCTTCAAAACATTTTGATTCAAAAAGGGTATTCTATCATAAATTTAAAAAGGGCAGGATCAGGAAAAAAAAAAAAAGAGAAAAGAAAAAGGAAGCCATTGAAAGTTTAATAAGTTTGTTTCAGTTAATGTTTCAAAGAAAAATGTTTATCTTGTTAGAAAAAAAACAAACAAAATAGAAAAGCATTACAGTTGTGCTTGGTATAATCAGAACCAATGGGAAGAGAAGAGGACCATGTTCAGCAAGAGCTTTCAATTTCAATAAAGACTAATGTTCCAATCAGGTTAAATATCACATTATCTACAGTGAAATATTATTCCTTATAGAATTTGTCTAGAAGAGGTTAAAAAAAAAATAGAAACTTGAAGAGAAAAAACTAAGAAGTACCTCCAACGGTAGAGATATCAACACTTCCCAGAAGTTGCTCTTTCCATTTTCTCAAACTTTCATCATCCTTTGAAATGCAAAAAGAAAAAGCTTTCATCAAAGGACAGATGCAAAATCAAGGGTGTGAAGAAACATATGAAAAAAGAAGAAGAAAATTATACTCTATCTTTCTCAAGCTGTTCCTTGAGGGAAAATTGAGGACCAAGATCCAATTCCCTGTCAGATTCCAACTTGGAGTCATCATCATCCTCTGGCTCAGTTTCTTCAGCATCATCAGTGTTGGCACCATCACTGTTTTTGAGCTCTTCCTCTAAATGAGGGTTGAATGAAACATCCTTGGTTGTGGAGGAGACAGCTCTCACAGCAGCAGACATTTTCAACCTCGGAATCAGAAACCAACCAACAAGAGAATGTGTGAACCCTGAAACAAAAAATAAAAAAATATATATGCTGTTTCAAAGTTGGTTGGTAACTAGTGCTAAATTTAGAGCTGTATTTGCTAAACTTTAGGAGGATAATTTGGTTTGCCAATGGAAATGAGAGTGACTGGTTGAGACTTTGAGACGTACCTATAAATCTAATTACTATTACAATTATAATTGCTCAAAAGTTGGATTTAAGGAGGGCACTAATGGCGAATGTGGGCCTGCAAATATAATGGTATGCATAAGCAGTTAAAATAGAAACCGCTGATGGTGGAGATGGTCAATTTCAAAGAATAAGGATTCCTTCTTGCAAATCATTATCTCATTTTATACGAGATAACTATTTTACGTTGTTCTCACATTAAAAATTGTGTCATCATTGGTGGGCTCCATCGAATCATGTGTCTATAGTAAGAGATAACTATTTCAACATGAGAAAATAGAATCCCTTACTTCTTACGGAGAATAAATGAGGAGAGAGAAAAATAAATGAAGTGAGAGAAAAAATTTGTCATGGAACCCACGTCTGAATATGTGTGTAAAAATATTTTGATCTCTTATGTAAAAGAAAAGACATTAACCCCTTCTTTTATTTCTTTCTAGGGTCCTTTTTTTTATCCCACTCCAAAAAAAATCTTTTTCATATACTAAAACAAAAAAATCTTATTTTTACATCAATTATAATGTATTTCGAGAAATACGTAATTATGATATAAACATTATTTTTTTTCTTTTCACGTAAGCTGATAACATCTTAGGAGAGAAAAAAATAACAATTTTAATATTTTTCAGTAGATTTCTTTTATTTTTTTATGTTGTGCATCTTTTACATTATGTAAATAATACTGTTTTTTTTTTTTTTTCTTAGGTCAGCTGCTCATTAATCACATTTATATAGAATGATGGTGTCATGTGAACGACTTCTTCTTCTTCTGTCAACGTAGGGGCTTAAGCCTAAATTGGAACAGCAAACTAATAATACTACACATTAGAACCTGAATCCATGATTTGCCCCAAGACAAGTGCGTTTAAAATCTGATTTATAAATAGAAATATGAAAACAAAAATATTTGATTTTTTTTCTTATTTTCAAAGATTTCAAGCTTAGTATTTAGGGTTTGCTAATGGGAACAATAGTGTTTGCAAATGAGTCGCAGCCTAATAGTAAAAGAGAATATAAGTCTCATTTACTGTTCACAAGAGTTAAATAAACAATGAGTTTATAAGAGTTATGTTGTAGAAAAAATGATTGTGTGATGTTACTGAGATTCCTTTTCTGTGTCTTAATTTTTTATTTTTGCTTCAAAAAATACGGACTCCACAAAATATTATGTGTATAGGAAACTTTATCATGCCAATAGTACAAACGAAAATCCCATAAACAATTTATATAATTTTAAACATCACTGAGTAATATTGGATTAAGAAAAAAAAAAAAAAAAAAAGAAGCTTGCATTTGAACTTTACCCAAAGAAATATGTTTTCAATGTGCAACCTACTCATTATCGAATAACCTATGTTTACGGTTAAGGATAGATAAATGGATGAAGCAAAACCTGGTTAACTTAGACATTGCAATACAAGAATGTTGTTATCGAAATTCGAATTATTATTATTATTTCTCTCTGAATGTAAAAATCCTCTTTGTTCTTCTAATTAAAAAGGAAAAGAAAGAAAAAAGAAAAAGAAAATTCAGTTTCTAACAAGTAACATGGCAGCGTGTGTTGTGCTCTCTACCTCATTCTCTTGCAGCTATCGTCCATCCCTTTCCGCCTCGTCTTGTTCGAATTCAATCTCCAAACGTAAAGCGAGTCCGCAATGTTTCTCGAACTTTCCTTTTTCAAATTCGAAACCACTCTTTTCTTCTCGCAAGTTAGTTGCACACACATCTATTCGAGAAGACGCAGACAGAGAAAGAGGCGCTGACGACGAAGATTCGAGTTTCGTAGGCGAAGACTCCGCGGCTTTCGATTTCGCTGAACAGAAAATATCTTCATGGATCTACTTCACCGCCATTTTAGGAGTGGTGTTGTTTGTTCTCAACGTGGCATGGATTGATAATTCCACTGGCTTCGGCAAAGCTCTTGTTGATGCTGTTTCAGGGATTTCCGATTCTCATGAGGTCTTATTTTCATTTCTTCCAAATAATTTAAACCTAATCTGTTAATTTCAACGTTTTTTGGTCCAAATAATTTCAACCTAATCTGTGGCTTCTATTTCTTTGAATGAGGTGACTTGGTGTTGTTACAAATTCTAGTGTTCTGTGAACAATAAGGTCTTGAGATCATCATGAAGGTGTTTGCTTTGTAATTACGCATCCTCTAACATAGTTCATATGTAGATTTTCGGTAGGGATGTGCATGAACCGAATTTTTTGAAAAATCTAATCAAATTGGTTTAAATGGTTCAGTCCGATTTAAATGGTTTGGTTCGAAACTGGTTCGTTTCGGTTCGAAACTGGTTTGTTTCGGTTCGAAACTGGTTCGTTTCGGTTCAAAACTGGTTCGGGTCGACTCTATTTTAAAAAGAAAAAAATTTTAAAAAATAAAATTATACAAATCAATTTGGTTCGGTTAAAAAACGGTTCGGTGTTCAGTTCAAAATGGTTAGTTTCTTAAACTGGTTCTAAAATCCGGTTCAGTTCATGAAATGGTTCTTTAAAAACCGGTTCGGTTCATGAACTGGATTTTAAAAATCGGTTATTTTAAGGGCGGATCGATTTGGTTCATGGTTCTGTTCAGTTTTTTAGTTATTTTGCACATTTTAAATCTTCGGTTTTCTTTTAGCAGTATCTGTTGATTAGTTGTTTGTGTTGTCATTCATGAACTGAACTCTTCAAAAGCTGCAATAGTCTTTGATTCGTAACTTAAACTTACCCTTGGCATGTTATTCTGCAGGTGGTAATGTTGATCCTAATTCTCATATTTGCCGGTGTCCACAGTGGCTTGGCTAGCCTCCGTGACACTGGTGAGAAACTCATTGGAGAAAGAGCTTACCGTGTTCTTTTTGCAGGGACATCACTACCTTTGGCTGTCAGTACTGTTGTGAGTTTCTACTCTGTATCCTATCCCCCAATAACTCATAATTGTCCATATCTCTTCTCCTATACAAGCAAGTGGTTTGTTTGTTTTGGATCCCTAGCATTTTGTTGTGACTAGTGGAAGACAGGAAGTTGATTCAAACTAACTTGGCATCATGATGCAGGTGTATTTTATTAACCACAGATATGATGGACTTCAACTCTGGCAGATCCAGAATGCTCCTGGGATTCATCAACTTGTGTGGCTTTCTAATTTCATCTCTTTCTTTTTTCTATATCCTTCAACCTTTAATCTTTTAGAGGTTGCAGCAGTTGACAAGCCTAAATTGCATCTATGGGAAACTGGGATCATAAGAATAACCAGGCATCCTCAGGTATAAATCCAATGCTCTAAGTACATATAGCATGACACTGATGAATTCGCGGATCTTCATAATTTTTGTGGTCTTCATAATAACTTGGACCGAAAAATAATCTGTTTATAATGCAAGTTCTTTGTTTTTTATTTCTGAGTAATAAGTCTTTTTTTTTTTTGATGCATAAGCTAACATGGTTGGAACTGTAATACCTTACTGTCTATAGATTAAGAGTAATGTCATATCCTCCTAATACATGATAAATAAAGTATTAAATGAAAAAGAAGATGCATTTAGTATCGAGGAAACATAAAAACCATTCAATACTTTCTTCATTTTGTAATTAGGAGGTTTGATTTAGAGTATAGAGAAGTATTCATATATTAGTATTAGGGACCGTCAAGATTTTGACCACTTGACTATTCCTGAGAAGATCTTTTCTTTTATCTTGACATGTGGCAATCAAAAACATGAAAATATTTTTTTGGTGCTTGGAGAAATTCTTATTTTGTGCACTCTAAACTTCATCCCCCATTTGCACTCAGACACATTTCTTGCACTTGGCTTCACTTGCTCTTGAGTGAAGGATTTGTTTTGCTCTCCAGATGGTTGGGCAGGTTATCTGGTGTCTTGCTCATACGGTTTGGATTGGAAATTCTGTGGCTGTTGCAGCTTCATTTGGCTTAATTGCGCATCATCTATTTGGTGTCTGGAATGGAGACAGGCGACTGGCTATAAGATATGGGAAAAATTTTGATTTAGTTAAGGGTCGAACAAGTATAGTCCCTTTTGCAGCAATTATTGATGGCCGACAGAGGTTACCTAAAAATTTCTACAAGGAGTTTATTCGACTGCCATACTTGACAGTTACTGCAGTAACATTAGGAGCTTACTTTGCACACCCTCTTATGCAGGCTGCTAGTTTCAAGCTTCATTGGTAGGTGAAACACATCCTGTCGTTTTTATGTAAAATCTATGTCAAGGAGCGAAAGGATAATGCCATATGCTGTAGTATGCATCTATAGACTATAGACGGAGATGAGACATCAACAAAGAAAAGAAAATAGAAACAAGTGAAAGAAAATTGAAAAACTGATAGTGGCCGTGCACATCCAAAACCTTGTCTCTCTTAGGTTTGTGGCCCAGAAACAGTGGATACGTTACATTAAAAAAGCAACTATAACAGCTGTAAACTTTATGACTCCCCCACATCATATTCTTCCTTTCTAAGGAGCAAATTGTACATATTGTGAGCAATGCTTATTGCAGACTAATAGTGATCGGAACACATATTTCTAAAGTCGGAATGCAGTCCAGCAAATAAAAAACAAGGGACGTATCATGCTTTATGAGTTTCCTACATTTGTATCCACCTTTGTTTACTTCTTATTTGTATCAGGTACAGTTGGGGACTTGCCTCCCAGGTTGCTATTTAGTGTTTATTTATTTATTCTAGCAACATATTTGGGTTGTCAGATTAAAAATGTATTCACATTAGATGTGAGAAAAAAATTATTCAATAATTGATCGTCTATACTATTCTCAAGGGATTACCTAGTTTGGTCATATTTCGCTTATATACAAAATATTAATATAATTTATTCGAAATAATTACAAAAGAAAGGATAAAATTGTAAAATAACTATATATATATATTTTTTCAAATTATTAATTCTTTACATAATTAAATAAATAAGTTCAAGAGTTAAGTTGAAAATGAATCATCTCATGTGTTATTTAACATAATCATATTATATAAGATGATCTTAATCATCACTGAACAAATCAACTGTAATGATTTTATAACTTTCTATCACAATATTTTTTATCTCTTATATCTTATTATCATTGATTCGTCCATGTATAATTAGAATTTTCTCACATAAAATCATCATGTCAAATAAAACATAAAGGATTTATTTCAAGTATTCTATTCTTTTCAAATTGTTAATTATTTGGATAACTGACTTGTTGGAAATGTTACTAAAAAAAGATTTTGAAATTTTTTATATTGTGATTAAAGCACTTTGGGGCTAGTGGTGAAAATTTTCTCCCTTCAAGCCACAAAGAGATTAATTTCATCTTACGAAATGAAGACACTCTGAGTTTACTAAAACAAAAACAAAAAAAAGTAATTGAAAGTTGAGGGGGTATCTTACTGTAAGAGTTCAATCATTTCAGTTTAATACAGTTTATTTAAAGCTAAAGGGGAAAGATCAAAGAAATTATTCTATACATATTATAATAACATAAGATCAAGATTCAGTTCTTCTCAGAACTCTAGAGATCGTGACACCTTTTTTTCTTCATTATATAGTAAGATACAATGACAAATATATGAATTAGATTAAAAAACTGCACAACTGCACATGTTGGAATTTGTTCCAAACGGTAGAGGATACAGTTCCTAAAACTTATGTTCAGTTTATCTAGTTGGCTATTTAAATATCTACATTAAGGGAAGATACATAGAACTAAAACCTAGAATTATTCTCTCCAAATTTTATCCAACATAAGGTTGGATTCTTTAGAGGATAACAAAAAGTCATCTTCAATAAAACATCATAGATTGAATAAAATAATCAATGAGTTAAGGCATCGGAGAGAGCTTTAGCGATAGGACAATGTTCTTTATTATGTTTTTTTTTTTTTGGTAAACACTTTATTATGGTTTTAAAAAAAATATAGAGATATGTTACCAACTTCATATAACTATTGTGTTAAGTACTGTAAGATGTGTTAATTAGTTTAATTCAATTGGAAATAGATTTTATACTTTGGTAAAATGTGCATAAATTTACAAAAATAATTTCATTTGAGATTTTCAATTTAAATATGTGAAAATGTTATTATCTAATTTATATTTAAAAAATTGCGACCAACCATTCGCGAATTTGCAATCAATTAATACAATTTCACGCAAGCACATACGTTTTTTTTTTTTTTTTTTTTAATATACGATATATTGTTGACCATATATACAAGAATAATTTGTAAAAATTGAAATTCCAGTCCCATTTCCTTTTCTTTTTTTTACAGGAAATTCCATTCTCATTTCCCGTTTCCTTTTTTAAATAGGAAACTCCACTCTTATTTGTTAGATTTAAGCACGAGATACCATATGTGTTTAATCACCTTTTTAATGATTCCATATCTTTCGGCAGTATGCATAAATTTGAAATTTAAATTTCTTGACCTCATTGTGTATATGCAACCATACCAATTGCTCTCTCCCTTTGTTTTGTCTTCTTTAATGTTTCTACATGTAGATAAGTTATTTACATTTACTCTCAAAACGACGTCATTTTAGAATGAAAAATTAAAAAAATATAATAAAAAAGACTATTATAACCTTAAAATAAATTATAATTACAAAAATACATTGATTTTCTTCTCAAAACGACGCTGTTTTGAGCTTAATATAGATAAATTATTTACTCTAGAAAAAACCAACCCTTTTAAAATTTCATTAACGGGATTATTTGCGTTTATCATTTGGCAACAGCCCTCTTTGTTTGCATTGATTGGAGAATACGTGTGCCCTCAATTAGGCAGAATCTGGAATTTTGTATTCAGTTCCATTTAATGTTTGTAGAATATTGGAATGGAATAAATCTTGTAAAGACATACAAGCAAAGTTCAGGGATCCTCCAAAGAACCTCAGATAAGTTCGAATCAAAGCATAAGTACGATAAGCAAGATATCTAAATCCAAATCCAATATTAATATTTTGCATAAACAAATTGATATGAAGTTATATATGAGGCTCATCTAGTATAAAGTTCAATAAGGGGCAATAAATATAAAAATCTAATATAATCAAAGAAAAATATTAATTTAAGATATTAATCCTAATACGATAACATTGAATTTGGGTTTGAGCTTTTAGAAGAGGCATAAAGGTCCATATCACCAATACTCATAGATAAACCCTATAAATAAGAGATAAAATCTACATATATATTCATTCTCTCTCTATTTACTGCATGTTATGTTTATCATTCTGCACACATACTATCCCTTTGACAAAAATCATTCTTATTTGTATACAGTGATCTGTCATACCCAAAGCTATCTAATTCATAGATATTTGAGAGAGCATCTAGATTCAAGGTAAATTCACTAGCCTTTTTGGCTAGACATATTTGTCCCCTAGGACAGAACACCAATTATACAATTTTTTTTTTGTAGGTAACAAATTATAGTTTATATATTTACTTTGCCATAAATATTCCATGTAAAATTAAATAATCAACATGCGCTAAAAGGAAAGAAAACAAAAACGGATACAAATTTAAATGAGTAATAATAGGGGTGTAAATGGGCTAGGTTGGCCTACAGGAGCCTACGACTTAGCCTATATTAGGCCAGGCTTGACCTATTATAAATAATAAAATAGAACATGCCTAGACTTTTAAAAACACTTATTTAGAAAATAGGTCATAAGCTATTTTGTACATGTCGGGCCTATAAACCTACAGGCCGGCTTATATCATATTATTTATTTGAAATATAATAAATAAAATTATTATTTTAATAATTTTGAATAATAAAATAATATTATTTTAGTTATTCTTTTAATTGTTGAATGTTTAATAGGCTTAAACAGGCTAACAGGCCTAGGTCAAGGCTTTTCTTTTTTAAATACTGGTCAGGTTAGACTTTAATTTGGGGCCTACACAGGCTAATAGGTTAAGTCATACACAATATTTTTTACACAGACCTGACTTATTTAAATCAAAACCTAACCTAACATAACCTATTTACATCCCTAAGTAATAATAACGTTCACATGCTATTCTCAAAATTTTCTGTTAACAATTTAAGTCTTGCAATTTTTTATAAGATCTTACATATATTTTATAAACTTGAGCATAATTCTTTCACAGATAGTTTCTTCAGAAACTTTACATAACTAATGTTAGGTTGCTTTCCACGTTAAAATTATTGTTACATAATGACACAAGGCATAATATTATATAATTTTGAGAATAATTCTTTCACAAAAACTGCACAATACTAAAGCGGGTAGCCATAATGATCTATATAGTCGAAGTGAGTTATTTTTATTCCTGGAATCATAGTCATAGAGATTCATCTAACAATACATGATTTTAGTGGTACATATATGTTGAATCATTCCAAGTGCCTCAAGTTGAGTGGCGTGATTGAAAACTTTTCAGTAGTAACTTCGAGGAAGAAATGGTGCCTATCACCCCAAGAACAAACCCGAATGTTATGAGACACAGGTTTAGGACTAAGAGAGGCTTTGGAATTTGACCCCAACAAATCTTCAAGTAGAAAACACATGGCAAGATCAAAACAATGGATACAGTAACCAAGGAACCAGTGAGGCTGAGTACATGCTCAAAATATGGCACTGACAGAGCAAGGCCAAGTATGACCAAAAGAAAAATTGAACCTATGCAGCCCCTAATTACCATTTTTGTCCTGCTACTCATTGAACTTGGAAGCTTATGCTCCAGCTGAATTGCAAATGGTGCAAATTCAAGAGCATATTTTGTCATAGGAGTCAAAACGGTTGCCCACAGAGCAATCTTTGTTACAATTTCCTTTGGTGGCATGCTTAGAGTTATCTGAGAGTAGACATCATTCCCAAACATTTTTGCACCCATGAAACCCAATGTTGTATAAAGTCCTGTAACTATTGTGAAGCTCACAATAGACACCTGAAACAGAATATTTGATTAATAAAAGCTTTAACATTTTATTCTTTATATATATTATATAGAAAAAATATTTCTGCCATTGTTGTTGCAAAAAAAATTATCTACCACACGAATAAATTTTTAGTGCAACAGTTGCACTGAAGACTCTGTACAATCGATCAATAAAAGCATCACATATCAGTCGATATTCTCTCTCCTCTAATGTGTGTTGGCTGATGTGTGATGCTCTCATTAGTCGGTTGCACTGAATTTTGGTGCAACTGTTGCACCAAAAATTTATTCCTACCACACATTATGTAATGTAACTTTTGAAATAAACACTATTTTTGTTTAAATTTCAAAAGTTATATCATGTACTGCCTAAAGTACATAGTGTGTGACAGATAACTTTTATCCACCGCATAAAAAAAGTTAAATCCATATTATATATGTAGTTAACTATATATACCTTGGTAAACTTTGAGGGGTCTTTCATGGCTTTATATAAATCAGGGAAAACAATATGTCCTCCATAGCCGAAGACATAAAGACCAGATACTGATGGAATATTATGGAGCTGGAGGAGAGGTATGCTATGATTAGCTTGGACACCTCCAAAAATTGCAGTGGCTGCTACAGATACAAAAATGAGTAGAGACATGAGAATGCCAACAGTTGAAAGGAAAGAAATGGAAGAAAGATCTCTGATCCACAAACTAGGCAGGGAAATCAACACTGCCACCATGGTAAGGAGTTGGGATGTAGAAAATTTAGCCAAGTGCATGTTCACATGCGTCCCTAAAAAGACTGTGATCAAGTTGTCGTGTAATGAGATGGTGTAGGAAACAAGGGCCATAAAGATTTCCAAGTAGATGAATGTTGCAGCTAGGAATCTTCCTTTTGCTCCAAATGCATGATTCCCAATATCCACATAACTTGTCAACTTTGGATTCCTTTCAAGGCATTTTCCAAGTATATGAGAAGTATAAGCACACATCCCCCCAAGTCCAATAAGCAAGAATGCAGATGCCCAACCTCCTTTTTCTATAGCATATGGAGTTGACAATTGCCCCAAACCTGAAAGATATATATAATACCATGTTCAATGTTAGTTCAATAAATAAAAAATGGGAAGAAATCCGTTTATAAACATTTTTTACAAATTACACTAAGTCTGACCGGTTATACACTCCGGTCAGACATAAGGTAGTTTGTAAGAGTCTGTAAACAAAAAGTTTATAAATATAACTTTCCACATAAAAAATATGGAATTAAATAATTTGAAGGGCACGTTCAAAAAATCATATATATCTATGTGAAATAGTGCGCAAGCAATAATATGTGAAATTTACCTATGAGCATCCCCACCATGTTGATGACAGCATGAGCAAAAGAACTATTGGCGTTAGCATCATGCTTGGCACCTTCTGCAGCAGTACTCTTTATATCCTCAACATTGATGTGGTCACAATTGTGTTGTTTGTTTTCCTCTAAGCAAACATTGCACTTTGCCCACTGCACAGGTAAAACAACCAAGTTTTCACCATGCACTGACACAGTACTATCAACTTCACTCTTGTGCTTGATACAATTCCATTGAAGGCTTAGGCTTTTCCTTAACGACTTCAACATCTTGCCCCACATATTAATAAAGTTACTATAAATTAAGAGGAAACTGAGGAGAAAATGTAAACCGAAGAAAGCACCAACAGTTATAGAAGGCACTCAAGTAAGGTCTCTTGCTGAAACATGCTAACCAAATGGCATGCAAAACATGCATTTATAGCTGGAAAAAGAATTTGATTGCGTTTAGATGACATCAGCCACCGCGAGATTCTGATGATGATGGAACTGATTGTCTAAGAATCAAATTGAAAAACGCAATGCTAACTTAATTTAAAGAATGATAAAGTATTATGGACTATAGCTCATATTTCACATTCAGATGATTTTAGTGTTCTCGGGACCACGGAGGCCTGGTATTGTTGAGTGTAGCTTATATTTCGCATTCAAATGATAATTCTAATGTTCTCGACAGGGACCAAGGAAACCTAATATTGTTATGGATCTCAGGCTTATTTTAATTTATTTTATTTCCCTTTTTTAGTAGTTTGAGTTTGAACTTACAAATAGCTACTCTTATTTAGGGTTTTCTTAATCTATTTAGGGCCTGTTTGATGTGATGTATAATGCCTGACAGTATAAGCTTATATTATACGTTATGACATTTTCAATTGTTTGGTGTGACCATCGTATAGTATAAGCTTATACAGCAGAATTCCTTTATTATACATCAAAATGATGTATAACTTAATCAAGCCTAAGGGGGTAGGATTAGGCCTGATAAGGAGTTGATGTATTAATGTTGTTTGAAAGTACAATTCCCAAGAACTAATATATCATTTCAATATCAATATATTAAAATAATTTGTTTTAATATATTAATTTTTAAAATATTGGAGGATATTATCTTACACAATACCATATCAAACGCATTATAGTATTAAAATTTAATCAGGTCTTATAAAATCAGGTCTTATACTATCAGGTCTTATATTATCATGCCTTATCTTATACTATGCACCACACATGCCCTTATATTCCTCTTATAAACTGAGTGATTTATAATGAGTGCAGTAAAGAAAGTATAGTTAACATTGTTGAATGTAGTGCACATTGAATGAATCAGGATAAATCATGTATATCCGTTTTCTTCCATTTATCTCCCAATAAGTGACCGTTTGTTTGGGCTTCTCAAAGAAGCAACTTTTATCTCTTCCTTATTTTAAAAGTACTTTTTATAAAAGCTAAAGCTATTTATATTTTTATAAAAATATTTAGATTTTGAAAAAAATATTTTGTTTTTGACTTCTGTTTTTCTTAGAAGTTAAATTTTTAGCTTCTGAAAAAAGTAGGTTTTTGACTTTTTTTGTGACTTCTCCTTTTTTAAAAAGAGGCATCCAAACGAACTAAAAGCGAGAAGTGCTTTTTTTCTTAAAAAAAAGAAACTTTTGAAGAAAAAAAAAACTCATCCAGACTAGTCCTAAGTATGAATTCAATCCAAAATTAAAGTGATAAGTGAAAATTATAATAATAGATTTGAATGATAATAACTAGTTACTGTACAAGCACACATCATACTCAACTAGCAAGGCTGTGGAAAGTAGCTACCCAACTTGAAGCGAGCATTTTCCACTAGTTCTTGGTGGCTGTCACATTCTAAAATGGCACAAATTACATATAGATCAGCACTATATAATTTGAATATTAGAATAATCGGTGCTTGGAATATATGGCCTCATGACTCATGAGTAGGTGAGGAGAGCACAGAAATGATTCACGTACACGAATTTCTTTTCACTCTTATTCTCGATGATGTATGATATTCTTTCTTCTATTTTTGTGTGGAAAATATTCCATATGAGTCCCGTTGAGAAGGAATTTAAATTTGTTAATGGAAAATGCACCACTGCTAAACGTGAGAGGTGACATTATCTATACCTTTATGCATATGTAATATGATATTTGATTAACGATCTGGTTGAAAATGCGACGTGACCTATATCCAACTAATTGGTAGGGGAAAAGGTTGCTTAAAGAATTCAACCAAATAATACATATGTGCTATGCTATTTATTCCATACCTAGTAAGGTGGTAATTATGTTAATTAGGACAAGAAAAATAATCATTTTACTATTTATACGAAAGATATGTGAGGGTAAATTAAATAAAGATAAACTAAAACTTTTGTTTGTTGGTTTATATATGTTGAATTTTTCTTTAATTTTTCGTCATATTTCTTCAGTCTTGAACATGAATTTTTCGAGACTACGTTTTAAGTTTAATCATGAAATATAAAATCTGCTTAAATTCACTGAGCGAGAGAATAATATACCAGTGTAGCACAGAAACACTTATATAATATTTATTTACAAAAAAAAACACACACACACACACATATAGAATAACCATAATATCATATTTTATATTTCATATTTCATATTTCTGTTATTAAATGAATTTAATAATGCAAGAGAGAACACGTGGCATTCTCATTAACCACACACACTTGAATTGGTGGTTCAAATCTCAGCCGTCCAACGCCAACTAGCTTCACCCCTTTCCACCGTTGATTCAGCTGCGCCTTTTCAGTGCTTGCTGAGTCGCACGCATAAGCCACTCGATAATCGTTGACGTTGCATGCTCTCCATCTCCCACAGCTGTTAATCAGGAGGAGCCTTTGCGACCCATTGTGATCACGCAAACTCCAACGGTTCTCCTCCACCTTGGGCATGGGCTTGAAAAAGACTAAAACAAACAGGCCCACAAAAATTATGATTATTCATATCATCTTAAATTATAGAGCCCAACCTGATCTAATTGCAGACCCATCTCGTTGTAAATATATACAAGTCCAGGCCCAACAAGAGGAACCGAGGAAGCCATTGAAAGGAGCTTGAAACACAACTTCCTCATTTCTTCATGAAATCACTTAGTGTTTGAGCCAATATTGCTTAGAAAAGTTAGAATCTTGAGAGAAATATAACCTACAATCCAAAATCTTGAGAAAACCATTGTCTTGGGAGAAAAACCACAATGAAAGTGGCGCCCCCTTCTTGAGTGGGAGGCTTTGTGAGGTCCATTGCTTGAAGTGAGGATTGGAGAAACCTCCTTTGGTCATTTGATTATCATCTATGGTAAGAAACTAGGATTTCATTGATTATTATGGTCATTTGATGATCATCTATGGCAAGAGACTAGAATTTCATTGATCATTATGAAGCTTTGAATTCTAGGTTTTCAAATGGAAAAATGTGGTTGAATAGGACTGTTTTGAGGTTGAATGAGGCTTAGGCCAAATTGGAAAAAAGTCTTTAGATAATGTATTTAATGGTGAAAATGTGTTTAGAAAATCATTTTGGTCACCTACATCATTTTTGAAAATTTGATGCCTATGTTGGATGATTTCTTGCATTTCAAGCAGTTGATAGATTGGGTGATTGATTCAGTTCATGATATTGCTAGGATTGAAGCAAATAGACCCATATTGATTGATCAAGCGTTGGTGGAATCCATGGTGCTTGATTTGTCTACTTGAGTTGGTAAGTTCACAACCTTGTGTATGGGTGTAGGATTTGCCTATGTGTTGATGAATATAGATGTATTCATTGATACAAGTGATTAATTGCATTACACCTTGATGTAGGTGTTTGTTTTGGAAAGTTTGTGGCTTTGTGAGAAAGCTTGGTTGTTCGTATTCTTGGTGGTGAGACAAGGTTTTGAATGGAAGCTATTGAGGTAAGCATTCGGATATTAAGATTTATTCTGTTATTGTTCCACTAAGTCCTGATGGGTTGATGTATGTAACCACTCAATTTTATCCTCACACATAAAAAATAAAAAATAAAAAAAGAAATAAATTGTGAACTCCCTGTTTTTATAAGGTATATTCTCATTTTCCTATTTTTATTTTTAAAAAAATAATAGGATCTATTTAGTAATGTTCCTAACTCTATCTGGTTTCTTAATCTATTTTTATTTAATTTTTAGTTGTAAAAATAAATCAAAAAAAAAAATAAAATACCATCTTTCTATTGTATCTATTTTTACAGCCCATCCAACGTGGGTTTCATCAGTCTCCATCCTTCAACCCATACCCCAAACTGTCTTTCCTCATTAACCGCCTTTGTCAATCAAGCTGATTATGTTCATACAATCCCATGTGAACGAACCAGGGAAGCAAGGGAAAGAAGCAAAAAAAGAAGAGGAGCGCTTATTATAAATCTTAGAGATTTTGACTGTGAAGGAGAGTTTTTTTTTAAAAAAGGTTGGCTAGGGACTTTTCAGTGAGGAAAAGGAAGCTGAAACAGAGACATAGAAGAGGAGAGAATATAGGAGTTCAGAGTTTCTTTTTGATATAGTAAAAAAAATGAGAAGAGAAGAAAAAAGGTGAGTAAGTAAGATTAAAGTTTGTTTTCTAAAAGAGAAGAAGACCAAACCTTCTATTAGGATCCTTGAGCAAGAGGTACGATATCTGAATGTGTATCCACCCTTGAATATTACTATATAAGTTGCATAATGAATCCATGAATGATATATTTACTTAAATCAAGCCAAGGCGCTTTTCACCTTACTTCCCCTGGTCCACAAGTTATGACCAATGTTCCATCACCAAAAAAGAAGAAAGAAATAACGCAATCCTCTAAGGGCCAGAAGAAGAAAACCCTTGAATCGAGTACTGCCTTCAAGGAGTCAACTTATTTTCGAGGTGAATGGGGCGTGGAGGATTGTCTGTACACCAAAGGAAAGGAAACTGGCACTTAGATTGAAAAGGCGATCATGAGTGCTTGGGAAGGAGGTGTCACGAAGCTAAACATCGTGAATCAACACTTGATGTCTTTGACAGGTGTGTATGTCGAAGTAGGTTGTGTGTATTTTTTATTTTGAGTTTAGAACTTGTCCAATTTTTGTTAAACCTCTTCTTTGTGTGGCCTTATTCCCATAGACGACATTAATGATCAGTCCAGTACAATATGGGCTGTCCAATATGGACTGGGCTAGACCACACACAGTTGAAGGTTGAAGACTTTGGGTTGGATGGAGTGCTTCGCGGGCCGATGATGTTTGCTAT